TCGTTTGTATTGATCTAAGTGTCCTAGTGAATAAAATGCTCTTAAGTTTAAAACTAGTACTGGCTGTGTTCGATTGTCTCAGTGAGAATACACCATCATTTTCTGAATCATTGTGTATTCAGGTTCACCAAATCGGATGAGCCCAAAGATTGGATGAAATGCACATCTACTAGTTTTCACAGACTAAATAAAACCTTATTTATTTCATTTAATTTACAATGTTGAATTTTCCTGTCGATTGATTGGACCGAAAGGCTCTGTCTCAGGTTGACATGTTGGCTTCTTGTGCAGATGCTTCGACGACGATGTCTGGGCATGTAATTAGAAGTTAATTGGTGAATGGTGACTAGCAGTGGAATCCACGGTAACGCGCATTTTGTCCTATTTGGGACTCGTCCGTCAGCTGGATGTACATGCATTCCGCAGTGAGTGATGATATTCCCACGGAGGCTCGAACCCAGTGCCCATAGTTCCAAAAGGCCAAAGCGTTTTCCACTAGACCACTTGGACCACGAGAGCCACGTCTTGTGCAATGGGTCATATTAATTATTCAACTGAATTTTAAATTTTCCTGTCGATTGATTGGACCGAAGTGCTCAGGTTAGAACACGGATTGATTGATATCAGTTAGAGAACCATTGGAGTATTGCACAGCTTTTTCTTCTGCCTAGTTTGGGACTCATCAGCGGCACGCCAAGGTTCGAACCAAAGACCTTCAGGTTAGAAGGAAAGCTCATATACCATTCAGCCGCTGGGACCCGATTCAATGACCAGTCCATGAATTCTAACTTCTCGCATTTCATGATTTTATCGCGTCTGGCATCAACCATCAATGTCATTGGTGGGAACTCAATCCTCCCCCCACGGTTTTCAGTGGTTCTCTAATTGATATCGATCCGTAGTCTAACCTGAAACACGTAGAATCACTACCAAACAAAACAACCAATCCTTGAAAAGCTTATTTATTGTGAAAAACATACGGACGGATAGAAGGACGGACAGATGCTGAAACACACACACACACATACACACACAGAGAGAAAAGACACAAATGTGTGTGTACGTATTAGTGTGTGATGAACTACACCGAATAATCTATTTATTTTCTAGAGTGACAAAATATGTACAAGGTCTAATCATCATATCACAGACCATAAACTACGAATAGTCTGACGAAGTTTAAGGTCATTTGTTATTGATTGATTAATTGATTATTATGTTTTAATGAGGGTTTCTTTTGTTATTTATTGTGATTACTGTTCATTCTCATTCAGAGATGTATAGTGTACATCATGACTCTAGCAGAAAGACAGGTAGAATGAGTGAGAGAAAGAGAGAGAGAGAGGTCAGTAGAAGCGATAACGATCAATTGAGTAATTTAAAAGAAACTCATATCGAATAGTCTCAAACAATAAGTGATAATTAGAAATTATCATTATTATTATTATTATAATTTCTTTGTATTCTCCGTTGAAAGATGAAATCGTAAAAATAGAAGTTTATTGTTATTAGTTAATTTCAATTTTTTAAAATTTTATTGTAGCTTGATTCCACTCAGGATTTTTTAAGTACGAGTATTCAATTTTCAGCATGTGATTTAGGTAGCCTAAATTTAGCAGGCTGACTATTGATGTACGTCGGCAGGGGATCGAATCCCGGACCATGTGCATGTTCGGCCAGTGACATACATGGGATGACACTTTTGTAGCGTACCATGAAGGTCTACTTAGTGATTTGCTGCTTTTGAGTCACTTCAATAGTGCTCAAACCAGAGGTCCATTTCACCTGCAAAAGGGCATACAACGACTCTCTTCTACTTACTTCCTCGACGTCTTGGTAATGAGAAGAGAGAGAGAGAGGATGGTTCAATTAACAGAACCCTATTTAGGAAGCTAAAGACGCGATAGCTCAATGTAACAACACTTCCTTAGCTTGCTTCATTCCTATGATGCAATAGAAACATATGATCTGGTCAGATCCTTAGAATTTCGAGCAAGGTCAATTTTGCTGTGAAGATTGTCCTCCTAGGGGAAGAATTCCAGGTTACCCGAAATATTCTAGGCGAAGATGGATATCCAGAAAAGTTAGTAATTTGCCGACATGGTTTGTAGTAATCGTAAACATGAACTAACAACAGTGGAGAAAAAGCCATTATTTTTATATTTACAGTTCAGTGGAGAAACTCCTGCGATAAAGAAAACCGTATACTCTGCACATCTGTCTCCATAGCCTTCAGTAGACTAGACGTCCAATGTTAACCCAGAAACTGAAAGACATCTAACCCCTAACCTTAGCATATGCCATTTCAACTGTTGTTGCTATGGTTCAGATTATTATATAGGGCGTACACAATTCGAGAACATTTACCAGTTTAATCTAGCAAGGGGAGTGGTGAAATCAAACGAACGCATTAAAAGTTTGATTCTGTCACACCTGGTACATACTGGACGTAACATTGACGCCAACGTGTAGCCTTCAGGGTTATATATAGTAAATTCTGAGGTCGTTATCACGCACAGTTAGCTTACATCTTCTATAGCTGTATAGCTGAAGCTGTTGCAATAAGATGGACTAAGCCCAAATTTTATATTCAAAAAGAACACGTACGTCCAGGTGCACTTTGTATCATGGCCAAACGTGGATTAAAATTTCTTATACTCCCCAAGTGTGCCTCCTCTCCATATCCCTTTTCTTCTTTCTCTTTGCTTTGCTTATTATTATTATTCGTTTTAATTTATACCCTTCATTTTAGCATTGTTTCAAAACTACCGAATTTTCCATTCATACTATCCGAACTTATTATTAGTAATATTATCTCTTTTCTCAATATATGCCTCCACCTGTTTCATTTTTTCCTGGTGAACTTTTCAATTCAGTCTTACTATCTCCTGTTCTAGTCACTCACCTGACACCTTTTTATATGACCTTCCCTTCCCCACACTGTATGAACCTCGTATGACCAATCACCGCTATAGCCTCTCTCTCATTTCACAACATTTCGTAATTGATTTCAGCCTACTGGCACACAAATACTACTATTTATTTTTTTATCACCCTTTGACTACCAATTTGTTATTCTATGTAGAAATGTATCCACCGCATATAGCTGACCATTAACTGTAACGATGCCATCGCCAGGTGGTATCTACTTGACACAAGTCATGAATGAGGTGGACGTCACAAGATCGTTCAAAATTATCAATAGGCGCAAAAGAGTTCAATTCTCCTCAAGTTTGCTGAAGCCGCAATCTCCATCAAACACCTGAAACCCGATTTATGCATTCAGAAAGAAGTCACTTATCAGTCTTTCTTTGCCCTGTCTGGTAACAGGATATATTTTCACCTCTCTTTTATCTAATTACGTAATGCCGAAAGTTTCCATTGTGTATGATCAACAACAACAGCAGCAACATCCAGCGCCAATCACTATCAACATGAGGGATTTGAAAGAGGTTACTTCATTCACTTATCCAGGGAGGGAGCATTGTCTCAACTATACGACGAACGGACGAGGATGTCAAATCGAGAATCAGGAAGACGAGAAACACATTCATCAACCTGAAACCAATCTGGAAATCTTCGTCACTCAACTCAGCATCAACAACAAAATGATTCGGATTTTCAATACAAACGTCAAGTCAGTCAGTCAGTTCTTCTATACGGATGGATCAGAAACTTGGCCAGTGTGTCACAAAGAATATTTCCAACAGCCTGTTGCACACCTTTATCAACAACAACTGTCTTCGCTGGCTCTATACTGAAGATCAGATGGCCGCCGGAAAGAACAAGAAGCAACAAGAAACTATGGGATGAAAGAAAACAAGAACCAATCGCCCAACAACAAATATGCAGGAGAAAGAAGTGGAGATGGATTGGACAGTCGATGAGGAGGAGGCCGCTGGGTGGCATCGCGCGTCAGTCAGGCCATAGATCGAGTGGAACCCGAAAGGGAAGCGGCGAGTTGGTCGTCAGTGCAAGGGTGACATGGAGGAGATCGTGTGAAGAGTAGTTGAAATAGTATTGACTAACATGGATGCAAGTGAAAAGTACAGCAGAAGACAGAAGCGAGTGGAGAAGTGCAGTTCAAGCTCTATGTTCCACTAGGAACTCAAGGGAACAGTAATAATAATAATTTTAGTGTTCGAAATAGTGTTTGATATTACATATAATTACTGTATGTATGTATATATTGATTGATTGGTGTTTGTTTAAAAATGAACTCTGTGTGTAAGTATGTTAAAATTGTTTCTGCAGATATGCTTAATGATGACTTTGGCCTGTAAGCAGTTGATGAGAAGCCAACGAAATAAGCACTGGTGGTGGCATCATTTTATTCTGCGAAAAGCACTGTTGTTCTTACTTTATGTTCAGTTGATGAGTCCCAGGTGTAAATTTCGTCCCGACTACTTTTCTTCTAATCAACTGAGTAGTATCATCAGGCTTCACCATAGATAAATGCCTCTGATATCCTGATAGTTGTTGACGTTGTAGTTAGCGATTAGTGCAAGGTGTATGTTCATTGTTTTAGATGTTACATCACCATGATCATAACATTAGTTTACTGTAATATACAGTATATATGAAGTGTTTCAGTTGGATTAACCTTCATTTTAGTATTTAATTGGTGGATGGTGACTAGCAGTGGAATCCAGTGGTCTAGTAGATAACGCTTTGGCATTTGGAACTATGGGCACTGGGTTCGAGCCTCGGTGGGAACATCATCACTCACTGAGCAATGCAGGTACATCCAGCTGACGGACGAGTCCCAAAATAGGACGAAATGTGTATCCTGGATTCCACTGCTAGTCACCATCCATCACTATAAATACTAATTTCGTGCACAGACATCGTCGAAGCATCTGCACAAGAAGCCGATATGTCAACCTGAGACCGAGAAGCACTTCGGTTAAATCAATCGACGGGAAAATCTAAAAAATTCAATTAACCTTCATTTTATTGATTTTCTTTTTGCTTTATTTTTTTTATTTATTATCTTACAGATACGGTTTGCAACAATATCAGATTATTTTACAGTGTTAAGTCAACGAGTGAATGAAGCTCACTCCACATTGCCAACATTCTTTCCATCATTGTCAGGTGATTTTTTCACCTATGCTGATAGACAACATGACTATTGGAGTGGATATTACAATTCTCGTCCATATCAAAAGGCTTTATCACGTTTATTAGAATCTGAATTAAGGTATGTATAGTGTTGTTGTTGTTATTATCATTTTCTCTGGTTTATCATAATTATTTTATTTTTTTGTTTCATTTGCAGTCAGTCGATGAGGCTTAGAACACCTGTTACTTACTCCTACGAAGCTATTACATTCCTCGTTGACCAGTGTGCTAGCTGACATACGGTTGTTAGGTAGTGGGAGATGGTTGAGTGTGCTTTGACTACTTAATTGTTAAACAAGATCTCAGAACGGATGGAAAAAGTCTGTCTGTTTTCGACATAGAACTTTGCACATATGTGCGCCAGTTCAAGTCAACACATTCCCTCCATGTACCACACAATGCAAGAGAAGAAAGTAGGAGAAATGCATATTAGAGAGAGACAGTAAACAGAGGTGTGAGACAAGGGAATAGTAATAACGAAGAACAAAACAGTTCCATTGGAGTGGATGCATCTGCACCAGCCATTGAGAACGATCACTTTGAGCTAGCCATGTCACCAATTGAATCAAGCCTTCATTGGTTTTTACCGTCCTGAGGACCCCAACCAGTCAGGAAGCCAGTCTACACCTTCCTACGTGGCTGGCTTAAACTAACTGTTGTAGATTTGATTGACTGGTGAAGCCATGTTTTGGTTTGACCACCATGTGCTAGATCTTTTCCAGCCTGACCCTATATTAGCCAGCTAGCATTGCCTGTTGTCGAGGAAGGCGATGACTAGGCATGCATGCGTAACACATGTCCTAACCATCTCAGTCGATGTAATTTCACAGTCTCGTCGACTGATTTCGAATTCCTCCTTACCAACTAGTACTCGACCGATGGCCCAACGTCAATTTTGCTCACCTTATTATATCACTTCACACGGGAGATAGAACGCTGGCATTTATGATCAAAGACAGCTTATGTTTTCATGTCTTCCGCTCTCAATGGCCAGGTCTCATAGCCAGCCAGCCATAAAGGAGGATGGAGCGGAGTGATGAGCAGTACACCCGCCCTTTGGTCGATAGTCGGATATCACGTCTACGCCAAAAACGGCGGATGAAAAAATTTACCCTCGTATGGTATCTCTGCTAATTTACGTCATATGTAGAAACGACGACATGATATCCGGCTATCAATCAAAAGATGCGTGTACTGCACACCACTTTTCATTGTCCATTTCTTATGGCTATAGGAGATATAGCCATTGAAATTGGAAGACATGAAGAAGCTAGCTAGCTGTCTATGACCATAAGTAATTCACGTTGACTCTTGTTAATTGTTATAATATGGTTCAGTAATATCGTGGCTGGGGCGATTCAATTGTGATAAGGTTATGAAGCTGCATCGATTTGGGGAGGGGGTACATATTATGCACGTCTAGTCATCATATTTCTCATGGAGCAATGTTGTCTGATGTAGTATGATTGACTTGGTAAACGCGTCATTTAATCCAGCAGCAGATGCGCATCCACACTCCTAGCTGGGGGATATTTCTACAACTTTGATATCTGATGGCGATAGGAATATATTTTTTTTAACCTTTCTCAAAATTCTTATAAATAATTATAATGAACAGTATGATGGAGAATTATTTCTAATAATGCATTGGAGTTCTAGTGATAAGTCGTGACCAGTGAGGTCCATCCAGATGTCAAGTGTGAGGATGGATGGATGTCCCACCGATGATGACATTGGCTAGTGCCAGTCGCGTTAAATCACGAACTGGTAGAAGTTAGAACTCATGGGCCATTGAGGAATCGGGTCCCAGTGGCTGAATGGTATACGAGCTTGCCGGGTGTAACCGGAAGGACCTTGGGTTGGTGGAACCCTGGCGATGGGTGCGTACTGCCGATGATTCCCAAACTAGGCGGAAAAAAGCAGCTTTCCAGTAACTCCAGTACTCCCTGGTTTCCAATGGTTCTTCTCTAACTGATGTCAATCCGTGATCAACTCGTCAAAAGAAATCTAATCCTTACAAACCAACTATTGAAAACGCATTATTTGTTTTACACATATATTAGCGTCCTGCTTGAACTTTTTGACTATCTGCATTTTTCCATCTGTCCAGCATAATGCATCTACTTTTCTACGTTTCTAATTACCTGATTAAAAATGCCCATTAAAATTTTCAAAAGAATGGATACTGAACAAAGAGTACTCTTTTCGATAAATTAATCATCAATCTCTACAATTAATATTTACATTATAGTGAATGAATGAATGAGTGTTATGAACAACATTAATGCCGTTGTTTAAATAACATCGAATCAATAATATTGATAGATTACAGCTGAATAGCATCAACATAAAATAAGCTGGATGTCAGAAGAATTAGGAAAGATAATAGTACAAATTCATGAGTTTATAGTTTCTACTGATGGCCAGGGCACTAGGAGGGGCTGGACTTGTTTCTTTTGAACACAGAGCACTGGTTGTTTGAGGCGAATTGCAATAGCCTCTGCTGTTTGGAGCATTCGGTGCTTCGACGAATTTGGTAATTTGTTAAGCACTCGGTAGATGATGATAGAGAAGGATTCTTCTACGCTGGTTTGCTTTGTGGCCGGTTTGCACCAGATGGTCTAATATCGAGCTGTTAATAGTTTAACTACACCTTTACTTAGCCATAGTGGGATATTTTCTCGAGTGAGCACGAAAAATCAAGTTCCTAGAGCAACGGCCAATATAACTCGCTCCATCACAAGCGCAGTTGAATTAGTAGATACAATTTGAAGTGGCTAGTCTAGGTACTTCATCTTTCAGTCGAGGTAGCACCATCGGTCGTGTAGAGAATAATACGTATAGTTCGCCAGCATTAAAAGTTCTTTGAAATGATTTTCTTAATTTTTTCGTAATTATCTAATTACGTTGTTTTTTTTAAAATTTCCACTTATATGTTTGGACTATAACAATGACCTTAAGTAAATTTTTTTATTTGAATTCAACCATCAACACAGTGCACTTCAAGGAGAAAATGAAGGAAAATGTTGTATAGGGGATTGAGTCGTGTTTCACAGGTGGAATGACGTCGCGTGGTGTATGGGAAGTACCATAATCGATGAATATATTTTATTGGGATTGGAGGATTTCATCATGAGCTGACAGCAGTATAGAAGCACTGAAAAACTTGCCAGCCAGACAGCTGTTTCGTCAGCCTAGTTTAGGGCTCTTCATCAATCAGTACACACCCACTGGGGTTCGAATCCAGGACCTTCTGGTTACAAGGCCAGCTGGTAGACCATTAATCCACTACTCCTAGGTTCTAAATCCCAGTGGGTGCGTACTGAGAAGAGTCCCAAACTAGGTAGGACAAAGCTGCTTATCTATTACTCCCAGGTTTTCCAGTAGTTTTCGAACTGATGTCAGCTTTTGACGAAATCCTCCAAGCAATTAAACAGAATCCCTACAAACCAATACTTGAAGACTTCAAATAGTGTTAGTTTTATTCTCTAGGGAATGACAGTTTGTACAAATAAAATGTCAGGAATTGTCATCTCATGTGTATTGTGGGATATTTTCCAACCCTACAATTATGCTTTTTCTCAAGTTTTAGTAGAAATATGTGAATCAATAAGTAGCCTGTGTGAACCTGTTAAACACTCTCTCTAGAGTGAATAATACCATTAGAGACATCAAGGTCTGTGGTGTGCTTTTGGAAGTGTGTGGGCGGTTGTTACTTCCCGGCTGCCCACACCGTGGAAGTTGGTTGAGTCTTCGGGTACCTGAAATAGAGAAAAGGTTGGTGTTACGTGACCGCAGAGCCCAGGTGACAACTGCTTGAGGCCGATCACATGCGGCCTGTTTTTGTTTGTTCTTTCTTGTTTGGTGTGTTTCAGTAGCAGTAGGAAGCGCGGTCGTTGTTAATCCGGGCCCCGACCGATCCGGAATGATATTTTTTGAATTTGTTTGAATCATAGTATTGAATTGGGTAGCTGCTTTTTGTCTAGCCGCTATCCAAGCAACCTTTCTGGCATGGTAGGACCTCAAGCGACATAAGCCTCAGCCAGTATAGCTTGTTGGGTCATTGCGGTGTTCAAGCTCGACCATCACGTCAAGGTAGCAGCTATCGGTCGAGGAGAGGTCAAGGTAAACACAAGAAAGAAAAATGCAACATGATGAGATGGAGGTGTTTGGTATGGCGTTTTTAAGCAAGTTTTAAGCAGGCTAATCCCCACCCCTACCAGAGTATTTATTGTATTTTCTATTGTGTTTTGTTCTGAGTTAAAAATTTTCCCTTATTTTTGTGTGTTATTTTTGTTCTTATTTTTTCTCTTTTTTATTTTGCTTGACATTCCACTGCAAACTACCAACCAACACTCCTACATGCTCCTGGTTTGTCTAATTAAAAAACAAACTATAGAACTGCCGAAATTCTATATACTTATGCAAGACAAAGTGTTGGTCGTAAACAGAATACTGTTCAATTATTACCATTGATATCCAGTCTATACGAGAATTTAACAACAGTTCGACGTAATCTGGGCTTATTTCAACATCATGATGCAATAACTGGTACTGCAAAACCTGAAGTAGTACTGGATTATTCAAATAAGTAAGCATGGCATTGTATGTTTGTTTTTTTTAAAAAAAACTTTATTTTCATTATGTACTGACTTTGAGTCAACTTCTTCACAAAACAACTAGCACTGTATGATGGTAAATGCTTGTATAGTTTAATCTCTATCCAAACGAGATTTATGGCACAGTTGGACCTACAGTGAAGATCATTCCGCCTCCAAAGCCTCAGGATGGTCGGGGTGGGTGCCTTGCGCTGCGGGTTGGCCACCCCTTCGCACACCTCTTCAAATGCTCCCATATGACCGGGCGTCTTACATAGCCTCTCCTGAGGAAGTCCTACTCACTGCCTTCACGTGGCGGAGGTGTTTTTCACCAAAGTGAGAGGGCGAAAGCGGATGCCTGACGCTCTTCACCGGGTTGACTGTCCATTGGATGACAGTTTAGGGGAGATGGCTAAACCCTGATTCCAAACCTCCAACTGACTGGCGTATGAAGCTCACTGGCAGACGTATGGACAAAGGGCTTGTTGGATGTCCTGGATGTCTGGCCACATTCAAAAAGGCGTATGAACCGAACTCCGGTCACCGGCCGCCAATGGATAGTGAACTCCCTACTCCACTCCTACTGCCTTGTAGGTCACACTTGGTTGTGTTAAGGCTAGAGCTGCACTCTCAAACAAAAGGCCGAGCGATTCTGGGGACATCACTCGTACCAAATTCCCATGAAACTTCATGGACTCTCTTAATTGGATAACCCTGTCGCAAAACGTCGCGTCAGATCGCCGCTCCTGGGCAGCGATGATTCTAGATGTTCATGAAGCCGGCTCATCCTCCCGTAGGAGATAGCCGAAGTAAAGTAAAGTAAGATCATTCCGTGAGATGCAAGCTCGTCTACAAGGTCAAATTAGCAGCTACCTGATATGTTACAGGGTAACACACACTGTGAGAAGCAGTTCCACTGGCCTTATAACTACGCCTGAAGTTGCTCAGTATTGAAGATTGACTTAAATTCAAAAAATGTAGACTTTTGTGTCAACTCTATGGGTGAAAAGTCAGCTCAGTTCACAGTATGGCATGTTTGAATAGATTTTACAGTTTTAGTTTTTGGAAGATGGTGAAATCAAGTTCGAATTCTGTGGTATATGACACCCACCATTATTATTATTATTATTATTATTATTATTATTATTATTATTATTGCTATTAGTATTAAAACAAGGGGTACTGGGCAGCTGCTTTATTCAACTTCGAGATTTCCCAGCGGTATGCGCCCATCGCCCATTCCAAGCATCAGTCATCGGTTAGAAGAGGGAATTTAATCCAAGACGAAGTTGTGATGAGAAGCCCTGACAAGTGGGATTCACCAGGTCGGGTGTTTTTTTTATATGTTCCTTTACCTTCGTAGTGGATGGAACATAGGGCTTCTAGCTAGAGGCTTGAAGTTTCGGTAGCACTGGTGTTTTTTTTTACGGGATGAGGTTGCTAGCCTCTTGCCCCAACCTTCCCTCTTTACCACTCTTGCTGGCAGCTTAGCGAGGTAAAGGAGCTCGTCGGCCGGGGATCGCACCCTGGACCACATGCGTGGTTGTGGCGAACATTCTACCGTCGTGCCATCGACGCACTGACTAGCCAGCTAGCGCTAGTGGCACTATCAATCGTAGAATTCCAGAAGTTAGAATTCATTGGTCACTGGATTCAGCTCCAGTGGTTGAATAGTTGACGTGCTTGCCTTGTAACCTAAACTCCTTGGTTCCACCCCCCTCGCGTCTCCTCTCGCTGGTGGTTTCATGGGTGAGTTCTGCGCTGAAGAGACCCGATTACGACTAGAGGATATGAAGAAGTTGTTAGAGGATGAAAGAGGATGCTCTTTGTTCACCAATCAGTCTTGTAAACTTATTCGTATTATCATTATTATTACTATTTTTTTTTTAAAATTATTTTTAGATTATTGAAAGCTGTTGGTGCAGTAAGAAAAGTGATAACTCTGTCCAGTGTTTACTTATTATCCTTATCATCGAAATTGTTTAATGAAGAAATAATGTCTAATCGTCTACCGATATCAAGTGAATTAAAACAACGTTTATTCCAGTTAAATGATGAATATGAAAGATATAATGAAAATGACTATAACAGTTATAACAGTATGCCTAGTTTTCATTCTCTTGAAGATCATTTACATACTCATGAATTTCCACAACCAATTTTAATCAATTTCTTATTAACTAATCCTGCAACTGAACACTCACGGTTAGTTGTTCTTGTTGTTTTTGTTGTTTGTATTTTATCTATGTACAATTTGCTGCCCCATTTGGGTAAACTCTATGTCTTCGCCTTGAAATGTTCTTCATATCTTTAGAAGGGGATTTGATGAATTCGTTTAAGGGTTGTAGATACGCCTTGCTGACTGGTGAGAGTGGTAATAACAACGAAACCTGAGTCAAGCTAGGCTTTCTGTCGATTGCTTATTGTATTAATTATTATTGTTCCCTTGGGTTCCTAGTGGAACATAGGGCTTCAACTGCACGTCTCCACTTGCTTCTGTCTTCTGCTGTACTTTTCACCTGCATCCATTCATGTTAGTCCATACTATTTCAACTCTTCTTCACACGATCTCTCCCATGTCAACCTCAAAGGGACGTCCCACTCGCCGCTTCCCTTTCGGTTTCCACTCGAGCTATGGCCTGACTGACGCGCGATGTCACCCACCCAGCGGCCTCCTCAGCGACTGTCCAATCCATCTCCACTTTCTCCTGCATATTTGTTGGCCGATTGGTTCTTGTTCTGTTTTGTTTGTTCCCATAGTTTCTTGTTGGTTCTTGTTCTTTCCGGCCATCTGATCTTCAGTATAGAGCCAGCGAAGACAGTTGTTGTTGATAAAGTTCTGCAACTGGCTGTTGGAAATATTCTTTGTGACCCGCCAAGTTTCTGGTTCATCCGTATAGAAGAAGTGACTGACTTGACGTTTGTATTGAAAATCCGAATCATTTTGTTGTTGATGCTGAGTGAGTGACGAAGATTTCCAGATTGGTTTCAGGTTGATGAATGTGCTTCCCACCTTCCCGATTCTTGATTTGACATCTTCGTCCGTTCCTCGTGTAGTTGAGACAATGCTCCCTCCCTGGATAAGTGAATGAAGTAACCTCTTTCAAATCCCTCTCGTTGATGGTGATTGGCGGTGGATGTTGTTGTTGGTTGGTTATTTTCATAACCGTCTAATGTCAACAATCCAAAGTATGATGGAGAAGATTTGTAGCTCAGGTGGATGATTTCGATGTGGTAGCACGTCATTTTCAAGGTCATCAGGAGAGGTGACTAATAAACTCATGGAGAAATCTAAAAGCTCACTTCATCAAATTGAAGTGTATGCGCTGAAGCTGTTGCCTAGTAGGGCACAATGAAAGCTTCGCAAAATAACCTATCCAGCTCAGACAACACAACCAAAAAGTGCATTTTGATGGTGTGTCAGCCACCTAGAATTGTGGCTATATTTCAATCAGCAAAGGATTAGACATATTACACTAGTTACTCACTAGTATCCAATCAAATGCTCTCTTATGCAGGCCTGGCATTCTCACATCCACTGCTGGATAACTCCTATTCACTGTTGTAATGCAGTGAAAGTACGCATGCTGACTGATCATCGGCGTGGAGAGTCAGTCACCTAATCTACATGTGTTCTTAAAATATGACGGCATTTTTTGGTCATCGGCAGCAATGGTATCGTTACTATCCTGCCCTAGGTGGAATAAACTTCAATCCGATGATTTTGGCGAGTAGAGTCACTAATTAAGAGACAATCATAGAAATCCTGAAAGTAATATCACATCATTAGTAAGACGTAATTTATCTGAAATGTGTGTAGTGAGTATTTGCTTAACATATTTCAGACAGGATTTTCATCATGAGCTGACGTTAGTTAGAGGACCATTGGGAAACGTGGGAGTACTGGACAACTGTTTCGTCCTAGTTTGGGACTCTTCATCAGTACGCACCCACCAGGATTCGAACCCAGGACCTTTTGTTACAAGGCTGTACAGTACTCCCAGGTTTTCCAATAGTTCTCTAACCAATGTCAGCTCATGATGAAAATCCTGTAACCAATCAAATCCCTACAAACCAACACCTGAATATTTCAGACCCTCCGATCACACATATAAATACACATTAATATAGAACTCAAGAGACCATGAATTACTACTACAATACAGGTCAAATTGTATAAAGGTCAAGGTCACAAATAAGAGGTGCTAGGCAGATGACATAAGGATGTGGGGTAAGCAAAAAGCAAGAAGATGGTGAAGATATATTATTATCAAGTCAATTGAACCCTAATTTTTCATGGTCAAGGCTTGAATGAACTGAAATTGCCTTATATATGATATGAGGGTTTAGGGGCATTATTGAAATCAATCCCTTGTGAGACCCGTATCTATGATGTGCTTCGCGATAGATGATGTTGTATATTTATTTCCAGGATTATAGTTGTATTCAGTGATTTTATTTGTTGTTGCAGCCGTTTTTGAGGATACGTACTGTAGTTGTAACCACTGCAGAGACCTATGGGTCCTCCCTATGTACGAGTGTCCACACACATAGGATACTTTGAGGATTTACAGGACAACGCAGATCTCATTTTTTTTCTCTAGGCAAAAAAATTTGGCTACAGAGCAACTTCTATTAATTGCCTCCCTGAGTCTTTCTTCATTGATCAAATTTTGTTGATTATCCTTGAATGGTAAAGAAGTGTAAACATCCTTTTTGGAGGCTGATTGGATCGATGAAGCCTTTTGTTTGATACTTCTGTGACACTTAATGAATTTCGGAGGATACTTGTTATCTAACAGTGTTTTAGTTAGGTAGTTTTGGTATTAGATGGTTGGAGGCAATCGGCCACAGGAAGCCTTGCCTGACCTAGGTTTCGTGCTAGTTGGCACTCATCAGCAAGGCGTATCTGCAACCTTGAAGGAACTCATGTCCCTTCTGAGATTCGAACAGGCGTCACCCAGTGCTGCAGTCAGAGACGTTACCACTACTGAGCTATTCAGACTCGTGACTGACCTCCTGTTGGACTGTATTGGATATTTTTGATTGCACACTAGTCAGTAACTAGTGTAATGTGTCTAGTCCTATCTTCAGTGCAGACTGAATTTTTCTTCTTCAATACTATCGTCTGTACATATGTGCTGGATGCGTCTGAATAAGCACTTAATCAACGCTTTTTTTATACTGTAGTGGACAGAAACTATGAAAATTTAGATACTGTCCCATCCATATAGACTTTCTGTAAACATTTGGTCGTATTGACCCATCTTGTCGGTAGATTATGAGTATACCTAAAAACGGCAAACAATTGTTAGTATGTTAGTGATATGCTCTTTTGTTTGTACTGTATTTATCAGGTTAAAGATTTCTGCAGCATCCGTTGGTTTATATATGTCCAAACCGAGTTCACTTTTAACAGTTTGAAAAAATTTGGGCATTGGGTATATGATATTCATTATAATAAAGGTTTTCTTGTATTTCCCCAATGAATGAAAAACAAAACGATATTGTTGTGTTTACTGACGTTTCGCTATTTAATGCCGCTGTTAATAGCTTTATCAAAGCATATGTATAACAAAGAGTTAGGGGGTGAGAAAATAGACTTAGGTCAAGTTAAAGGGACATATTGAAAGTAAAAATAGCAATGAAGATCATTAAACCAAATAACAAAGGTAATAGTACATCTGTTATGATATCAAAACAAAGTTTACTAACTTCATCATCCATATTAGTTTGTTTGTTAGATATATCACACAGTGAGTGAAACAGTATTATTTACTGGATGACACAGTTTCGAACAAAATTTATTATTGTTCATAATCATATCATCAATTGTAATCACACGACTTTGAAACTTGAGTTTTATAGTTTTCTTTGTTTTCTCCTATTTGTCGTCGTTGGGATAGTAGAATTTAAAAGTCAATCTGAACGAAGAATATTCTTTTCAATAATTTCTCTTCAGGTTCTTACAATTATAAAATATAATATTTGTTGTCGTTACAATAAAGGCCAGTTATGCGGCAGGTACATTTTTAACGTAGAATAACAGATTAGTTATGGGGTGTCAAAATGAATAGTCGCATTTGTGTGACAAAGGTGCTAGGCTGAATTCGATTAGTAGAATTTTCCAGATATCGGGCACAGGTGATGAATCATTCCTATTACATGTATTTTCAGTTGATTCGATAAACAAAGCTTCTTAATATATGTGTACAACTTGGGCCCTGTGGTAGTAAGTAATTCCATATTAGTTTGTTTATTAGATGGATATATCACACAGTGAAACAGTATTATTTACTGGATGACGTTTCGAACAAAATTTATTGTTCATAATCATATCAATTGATATGATTATGAACAATAAAAATACTGTTTCACTGTGTGATATACCTAATAAACAAACTAATATGAAACAAAGCTTCTGTTATCAATCTCTCCCTATACCCTGTGACATTAGATTTTAAAGCTGTCATCTTATCCCAGCCATCCTCTTGTATGGTTGTGTGGAATTGCATGTAGTGAGTACTATAGATGAACTATTCTCTAGATTTCTTATCTTATTCGGGTCAAACAATCTAGATTTTGCTAAGTTTTCATGTTCAGCTAGTCTGACTGCCCTGTTCTACTAGAAGTCAGACATGTAACAGGAATGATTCATCACATGTTCCCGATATCTGGAAAATTCTACTACCCCAACGACGACAAATAGGAGAAAACAAAGAAAACTATAAAACTCAAGTTTCAAAGTCGTGTGATTACAATTGATGATATGATTATGAACAGCAATAATTTTTGTTCGAAACTGTGTCATCCAGTAAATAATACTGTTTCACTCACTGTGTGATATATCTAACAAACAAACTAATATGGATGATGAAGTTAGTAAACTTTGTTTTGATATCATAACAGATGTACTATTACCTTTGTTATTTGGTTTAATGATCTTCATTGCTATTTTTACTTTCAATATGTCCCTTTAACTTGACCTAAGTCTATTTTCTCACCTCCTAACTCTTTGTTATACATATGCTGAGATTTTGTAAATTCCGGTTTAATAATACTTTGAAAAAGCTATTAGCAGCAGCATTAAATAGCGAAACGTCAGTAGACACAACAATATCGTTTTGTTTTTCCTTCATTCATTGGGAAATACAAAAACCTTTATCATCCATTGGTTTATTATGACAAATGGCTATTATGTTATCTATTTATCTCTTATAAAAATAAACTTTCCCAATCACGTCACCTGCTAGGTTCTCAACATGCGGCATATATATATATATATATATATATATATATATATATAAACTAAAATTGCAAGCCTAGGGGCACTTCCCACAGAAGAGTCCCAAACCAGAACGAAACGGCTGACTGGCTGGCTGTACTCCCAGCTGGTTTTCTAATACACTCCTCTAACCGATATCAGTTCACAATGAAATCCTGTAACCAATCAATCAAATCCCTGCAAACCAACTCGTGAATCTGCCCCGTTTTATTAAATACTGTGTCATATGTCAAAAAAATAAATTTATGATCATTATATGTGTAATTTCATTAGGTCAACACACAAAGTTGACTTGATCTTTTGTCACGCTCGCTTAATTCTTTCTGTTTTAATGCATCGCTTTAAATGACATCATTCAATACAGCATATCTTAATATATATAACAATGATGAATGAAAATAGTATGGTTAAAGACTTTTAGCCTTTTAAATAATAATAATAATAATTATTATTATTATAATTACTTTATTCCAAAACAGTACCTGTGATACAGAATGGAATTCTCTGCATTTTTACTACAGTACAGTATTGCATCCAGTTTGTACATTATCAATAAATAGAATTCTACATGGATTAAGGAAATCTCAGTTCATTATGACAACAACATATTGCCATGTCGGTAGCAAAGCCAAAGTTGAACAGAATGTTTGAAAGTGTTAGAAAAGTAGGTGCTGTCATATTTACTGGCGTAAGTGAGAGAAAGAAACAAGGCAGCACATAACGGACAAAAGAGAGAGCGAGAGAGAAGATGAAAAGAAAGAAAGAAAATGTTGTACCTATAAATGATATGAGTTGGAAAGAAGAGATCCAGTTGTTCTACTGACTATTTAATGAATTATAGGTGTCACGCCTAATGCTTTCTTTATCGCACAGAACACGAGCTAAGTAGGGTATGGTTGAGTTTTTGTACTTGCTTGCTGGTGCGAGCATATCGTTTTCTATATTGGCTTCTGGTTTTGCCTGATTAGATACAAGGGGAGAGTTGTGAGTGAAGAGGGTGGTGTGAGTTAGATAGAACGGAAGAGAATAGCCGATTTTTCACATGAGTCCATGTGCCTGTCAACCAGAATATTAACAAGCTGGTTAAGCGGCACGTTGCTTACCCTGCTGACAACCTTTAACATCCTGCGTAATAAGGTATAGTCTTTCTTCAGTAGCCCGGGAAAAACTAAGGGGTAACAATGGAGAATAATAGGCAGAATGCGAGAGTTAACGAATTGTAGGAGTAAGGGTTGAGTGGTTATACCAGAATGATCAATACTTGTTGTTTGACAGTGTAAAAATGCAGTAAAATATAAGAATGATAGCAGAATTTTTTATTATTTTGGTGTACGTACGGTGATAGTTTGCGAAAACCAGAGTGGTTGAATGAGTGTATCGATCACTTCACTTATCTCAAACAACTTGCATCAACCCAAATGCGATTGACTGCAGACGAAATCTTATAGTGGATAGAAGAACCTCGTGAGGCGCAAATTCACAAATATTCAGATATTCAGCCATCGATCATCCCATTTAACATGTGCACTGTGCAACACTTCACCATTCTTTTCTTCACAGATGTAAGACACGGTCATTGAAAGTGGACGATATGAGAGAGGATTCACCATAGATGAATATTAGCATTGAGTCTTTCATGTTAGATGTGTAGAATGAGCTTTAGGTGAGGAGAGAAATTGTAATCGTGATGGGTTTTAAGCTACATGATTGAAAAATAACTTATACGTATTACACATACCAAGCCCATTGCTCATTGCTTTGCTTACTGCATTATTATTATTGTTCCCTTGGGTTCCTAGTGGAACATAGGCCTTCAACTACACGTCTCCACTTGCTTCGGTCTTCTCCTGTACTTTCCACCTGCATCCATGTTAGTCCATACTGTTTCTACTCTTCTTCACACGATCTCCTCCATGTCACCCTTGCACTGACGTCCCACTCGCCGACTCCCTTTAGGTTCCACTCGAGCTATGGCCTGACTGACGCGCGATGTCACCCACCCAGTGGCCTCCTCAGCGAGTGTCCAATCCATCTCCACTTCTTTCTCCTGCATATTTGTTGGGCGATTGGTTCTTGTTTGTTTTGTTTGTTCCGATAGTTTCTTGTTGGTTCTTGTTCTTTCCGGTGGCCATCTGATCTTCAGTATAGAGCCAGCGATGACAGTTGTTGTTGATAAAGGTGTGCAACAGGCTGTTGGAAATATTCTTTGTGACACACTGGCCAAGTTTCTGATCCATCCGTATAGAAGAACTGACTGACTTGACGTTTGTATTGAAAATCCGAAATAAATCAAATCACTACAGACTAACTCTTTAAAAAGTATATAGGTAGTATATTTGTTGTCTGTTTCAAAACACCGGAAATAACCGTTGATTTATGAAGAGAATAAAAGTCAAATCAGCAAAGAAAATTTTCTGTAGTTGCAGGATTTCATCATGAGCTGACATTAGTTAGAGAACCATTGGGAAACCTCGGAGTACTGGACAGCTGTTTCGTCCTGGTTTGGGACTCTTCATCATTACGCACCCACCACAGAGGTTCGAATCCAGGACCTTCTGGTTACAAGGCAAGCTCGTATACCATTAAGCCACTGGGACCCGATCCAATGGCCAACGCATGAATTCTAACTTCTGCCAATTCATGATATAGCGCAACCGTTAGCCAATGTCTTCGGCGAGTATTTGTCCTCACACTCGACTGGCTGCACCCTACTGGTCATGACTTCCCACTGGAACCCCAGGTAGTTACCTACCTAAATAGGGTCAGTCGCCATTTTGTTTATCGACGAAATCATCTCCAGAGACTGTACAATCGTAGTTATAATAACCAACAAAACGTGTAGTAGTCTGTTATTGAGTTATAGGGGGTGTTGGTGACATGATTGATGTACTTACTCAGAAGTGATTTTTCAAACAAACTGAAAGATCACGTGATTACGTCAGTGACCCAATGGAGGAAAGGGTTTGAAATTTCATAAGGTTAAAACAGTTATGAAATGAGAAGGTGGTTGAGTGTCCACCTGCAAGTGTGATTAGAGTGAAAAAATATACGAAAATAAATACTTAAGAGTAATAATAATAATGAATTATTTTCTATAGTTTGGTTTGTAAGGGTTAGTTATATTTTTACGAGTTGATCACGGATTAATATCAATTAGAGAACCATTGAAAACCAGGGAGTACTGGACAGCTGGGTTCAAATCCCAGTGGGTGCGTACTGCCGATGATTGCCAAAACCAGGATGAAACAGCAGCTGTCCAGTACTCCAGTGCTAGTTTTCAATGGTTCTCTAACTGATATCAATCCGTGATCAACTCGTAAAAAAAATAATGAATTAATTACCAAAAGTAAAAGTGAACGATAAGGGGAGAAATGAAGACCATGGTGTAGAGTAGGTTAAAAGACTGAAGAAACATTTTCTGCACTCAGAGTTTGGGGGGGGGGTTATTTTGTCGAATTGTCAACTCCTCCGCCATATACACAACACGCCTTGTAGTAGCATTCGTTTTCATCTCATAGATAATCTGAAAAGAAGACGACTCCGGTGGAGATGCAATGCTTGAATATTTATTTATCAAGTGCTTGAGAATTGAGCTAATAATTGGCTCATATATATTGTCCTCTTTGATAACCATGCTAGATAATGTTTTCAGATGTGTTTCTAAAGTGTACATATAGTGTGTGTGTGTTTTTGGTAAGTATAAATAAGTAATTCCATATTAGTTTGTTTATTAGATATATCACACAGTGAGTGAAACAGTATTACTATTTACTGGATGACACAGTTTCGAACAAAATTTATTATTGTTCATAATCATATCAATTGTGATGACACGACTTTGAAACTTGAGTTTTATAGTTTTCTTTATTTTCTCCTATCTGTCGTCGTCAGGGTAGTAGAATTTTCCAGATTTCTAGATTTCTTATCTTATTTGGGTCAACCAATCTAGATTTTGCTAAGTATTTGACCTGACAATCATTGCAAGGTCAAATACATAGGTCAAACTAGTAGAACAGAGGAAGTCAGACTAGCTGAACATGAAAACCTATCAGCAAAATCTAGATTGGTTGATACAAATAAGATAAGAAATCTAGAGAATAGTTCAGCTATAGCACTACACCACATGCAGTTACACACAACCATACAATAGGATGGATGGGATATGATGACAGTTTTAAAATCTAATGTCACAGAGTATAGGGAGAGATTGATAACAGAAGCTTTGTTTATCGGATCAACTGCAAATACATGTAATAGGAATGATTCATCACCTGTCCCCGATATCTGGAAAATTCTACTACCCCAACGACGACAGATAGGAGAAAATAAAGAAAACTATAAAACTCAAGTGTCAAAGTCGTGTGATAACAATTGATATGATTATGAACAATAATAAATTGTGTTCGAAGCGTCATCCAGTAAATAATACTGTTTCACTCACTGTGTGATATATCTAATAAACAAACTAATATGGAATTACTTACTACCACAGTGCCCAAGTTTTACACATATATTAAGTATAAATAAGATTGTAAAGTCGTCTCCGAAGATGATTTCGTCGATAAAGTAAAATTTTCAAGAGAACTAATTCTGGTTTTGTTGTTTTTTGTTTTTTTTTATCTTGATTTCTGTCGTCGTCGTCTTCTGTCGTCCTCCTCCTTCTCCTCATCGCCATCGTTATTATCATCATCACCATGTGTGTAGTCGTATATACCTTTTCAATCCATCAACTCGTAATCGTACTACAATCATCACTTTACATGTCAATGGTCATTATAAAAATTTTCAAGCAAAACAAATCTATTCAAATCCCTTGGAATCATCAAGTAATGATCAACAATTGACAATACAATTACAGCATACAGTAATAAAATATCCATCTAAACAGCATCAACAGCAACAACAACAATCTATAAGTTTGTTATATTTAAGTCCAGTGAAATTGTTTCCATTATCTTTTTCATGTATTGAATTGAAACTGTTATCTGAACCGACAGTGTTATTATCCTCGCTATCCTCATCGTCATCGTCAGGACCTATTGAACCAGTGAAACCACAATTAGTACCAGTTATTGAAAGTGGAAAGTTGCCGACCATGACAAAGTGAGTTTCTTTTGTAACACATGCATATAAAAATACATTGTTTTTTTTCTGTTTTGGTTGGACTTTGCCGTTGATTGATTAGACCAAAGTGATTGGCTTCTGTTGTGATATGCTGGCTGCTTGTGCAGATACATTGATGATGGCTGGAGATCTAGCCTTAAGTAGTTTGGTTGGATATGGTCACTGTCTGTCTACCTGTTTTCGACATAGAACTTTGCACATATGTGCGCCAGTTCAAGTCGCCACTTTACCTCCATGTAGCATACAAAGCAAGAGAAGAAAGTAGGTAGAAATGCATAATATAGACAGTAAACAGAGATGTGAGACAAAGGAATAGTAATAACGAAGAACAAAACAGTTTCAATGGAAATCATAAGTCAGTCACAAGGAGTGGATGCCTCTGCACCAGCCATTGAGAACGACCACTTTGAGCTAGCCATGTCACCAATTGTTTCCAGCCTTCATTGGTTTTTACCGTCCCGAGGAAACCAACCAGTCAGGAAGTCTACACCTTCCTACGTGGCTAGCTTAAACTAACTGTTGTAGATTTCATTGACTGGTGCCATGTTTTGGTTTGACCGCCACTGGCTAGCTCTTTTCCAGCCTGACCCTATTTCAGCTAACATTGCCCATTGTCGAGGAAGGCGATGAATAGGGATGCATGCGTAACACATGTCCTAACCATCTCAGTCGATGTAATTTTACAGCCTCGTCGATTGATTTCCAATCCCTCCTTACCGACTAGCACTCGACTGATGGCCTAACCTCAATATTGCTCACCTTATGGTCACTAGAAATTGTGGAATGCAAGATGCAGGTACATCCTCTAGCTGACGAGTCCCAAGTAGGACGAAGTTTGCATCCGCTGGGTTCCACTGCTAGTCACCATCCACATTATATAAACTTCAATTATTAGCCTTCATGTATTCTTACATCCCTAATTATTTCGTCGAAAGGGGATCGACAACTATATTAGCTGTATAAAGTGAGTGTGAGTAATCATTTGGAAATAATAATAATTGATAAGAAACAAGAGGATGAAAAATTGAAATCAGGTTTACAGAAAAATGAAAGGATTAAATAGAGTTTATTATGCAACAAATCAGAGAGATATAAAACTCCCTTCAAGGACACGGAGCTAAATGAGGCCTTGCGTGTTCAGAAATGTTTAATCCAGCCTCTTTTACCACCTTAGTTAGACCAAGCAATAATTGTATTTCCTTGAATTCATGTATAATAAACTCTCAAGTTTGTGTGGAGATCAACACTCAGCACTTAGCATGAAAAATAAAATCCGGATTTTCAACTCTAGTGTGAAGTCAGTGCTACTATACGAACTAGAGACTTGGCGTATCACGAAGGGCACTTCGAATAAACTACAGACCTTCATCAACAGCTAGTTGTCTTCGCTCAATACTACTCAAGATCAGATGGTCGACCAGAAAAGATCACCAACAGAGAGGGATCTCTGGCGATGAGCAGGAACAGACTATGAAACAAATAGGCAGGAAGAAATGGAGGTAGGTGGATTGGCTGGCCATACTCTGAGGAAACAAACCATCAAGTGACATCACACGCCAGGCTATTGCTCGAGTGGAACCCGGCCGAAAGGGAAGCGGCGGCGAGTTGGTCGTCAGTGCAAGCGTGGGGTGACATGGAGGAGGTCATGCGAAAAGGAGATGAAAACATTGGCGGAAAACTGAACGCAATGGAGACGTGCGGCTGGAGCTCTATAAACCAAAGGAGATAATAATAAGCTACATTTAGTTCTTATTCGTTTATCTTCGTAATACATCTTCAATCCCTTATTTCTCTTGTTTCAATATCAGTTATTTCCAAAAGATTGATTAGTTGTCACTTGATGAACTAGTCGTCAGCTCTTTCTCTCTCTATCTCCCGCCTACATAAGATTATTCACTGTTTTCACACATTGTCATTTCTCATGCACAACAAGCCTTAATCACAGTCAACGGAAAAAGTTTGAATGATATCACTTCCTACACTTATCTACGCATCACAGATGAAGCTGCTATCAAAACTGCAATCGGAAAAGCCGGGACAGATCTTCATCATTCTATTCTGAAATCAGTTTAGAAATTTGGCCACACTTCGAAGCATCAACAACAAAATTCAAATTATCATCAACACCAGCGAGCGTTAAGTCAGTCAGTTCTTTTATATATGGGACAGAAAGTTGGTTCACAAGTCATGGAAAGCATTTCCAACAGCCAGCTGCGCAGACTTTTGATCAATAGCTGCCCCCTTCTCCGCCTCAATATTGAAGATCGACCAAATGGTCAGCCAGAAAGAATTAGAAACAAGAACGAATCAATAATTGATTGCTGAAGTGGACACACGCTGAGAAGACCGTTGGGTGACATGAACGGGAAACGATGACTGGGGCTGCCTTTGTTGTTAATTAGCGCACTGTAATATATAATTATATAAACCGCTAAATAGTTGTGCGTTATGTATTGCATAAAAATCCTTCACACAACATTTTACAGATAGATGTCATCTTGATTAACATAAATGTTAATCAAGAGAGCGAGCATATAAGTGCGTAAACCCATGTACTACAGATTGATTGAGACACCTAGTTGTATGCCACTCATATCTATACCAGTGGTGTGGTTGCTAGCCATCCAGATCGAGGTGATCTAACCGTTTCTCTCGCCTTGGTCCGAGCTCACCATTGGTGTGTGTATCCGGTTTTGATTGAGCTCAGATACAGCCCCCGACTTTTGTCTAGCTATTTGAAAGAATTTGTAACACCCGAAATCATGGTTTTAGTTTATACAACTTACACATTTCTTGGAGAGATAAAACTTTTCGACACTTTTTTCCTTTGGTAAATATAATACAAAATGTGGCTATGTACGTTAATTAGTGAATTTATTTTGTGTGTGTGGCATAAACTACTTGATTAATATAAGTAGTCGAGAAGCATTTCTGCAATTTTGCCTACTTTCTTGATTATTTGAACGCAATATTAAACGAAAAGTAGTAATTTTGGGGAATTTTACTTCTGAATTTACAGTTAGGTAACAAAGGTGTTAAGGTATCAGACAAATATAGTACCAATTGGATTAACTGAATTAATGTCCAGTCATAGTACGCTGTTGATGCAGGGGTAGAATGCCTGGCAACGCCGAATCCCGGCCGGCGCACTCCTAAACCGGTAATAAGACCGGCAAAGAGGGGAGGTTGGGCGTGAAGCTAACAAACTCAACCCGTAAAAATCAACACCACTGTTACAGAAACTGCAAAAATCTATCTTGTGAAGCCCTATGTTCCACTAGGGACGTAATGGAATAAGATAGATCAGGCATATCCGAATTATTGCGTAATAATCAAGGTGAAATTCATATTAATGTTGATAATAATCTCACTGGTCAGATATTGATTGGATAACAGTGTTTTTGGTTTTTTAAAAAGGACAACAATTGTTAAAGCAGGAAAAGGTAAGAAAGACAGAACTTCGAGTGCAAATATAGAAGATAGAGGTAATCAAAACAGCCAACTAACAACAAAAAAACAACAAAAACAAATGTAACGACAAAAGACAAGGGCCAGGCAACTTATCCTTCATTGAGGAAATCAACAGATATTTTTATATATTTTGCGTACATTACTATAGGTTATTGTTAGCAGACAAACAGCGTCTTCTGGTTGGTTGTTTTCTCGCTGAAAGTTATTCTGTTATCTCTTTGTGGCCGTTTCTTTCAAGGTCAGATCATCAATCTGCGATTCGTATCCGCCTACGCAAACAAAGTCTGCTGTGATTGGTTGTTGAGTCAGTCTTTGTTCTTGTTTTTTTCTCATGGCCAACATTTGGGACGTCAAAACATTAACATAAATGGCTGTCTACCACATTTTGGCTAGCAGCAAACAGCTCTCACCACACAAGAACCAATCACTATCCTTAGGAGAGATTTAAATGAAGTCATCCCTTCTGACTTACCTGGGAAATACTATTTCAACTACAGATGGCACAGATGAGGTTGTCAACCTAGATATGAAATCAGTGTGGTGATCCACAGTGTGTGTCCTCAGTACAACGAACATATGATCTGAATTTTCAAATACTAATGTCCGATCAGTAGTCAGTGCTTCTATATATGGTCTAGAGACTCACTGTGTCACGCAAAACTTTCAGAAGAGACCATTGTGGACTTTGAAACAAGCACCTGCCTTGGCTGCTTGCTGAAGGTCATATATATGGTCTATTGGAAAGGATACATAACATAGAACTCTGGGAGCCACTAACCTCCTAGTAGACAAGAACTTAATTGCCTAATAAGTACGCAGAAGGAAATGACAATGAACTGGACATGGTCCGAGGGAACCTGGTCAGATGACATTGTGTATCAAATCCTCGAGTGTGGGACCTAATTTCAAAAAACATTAGATTCGGTATCCGAGCATGCCATAGAGAAGATCATGTTGGGAGGAATTGAAATCTGCACTACTTGGAAATGAATTTTATAAGGAGTGATCGGTATGGAGATACATAGTTTAGAGGCTATGTTCCACACACGAAACTAAAGCATTGAATAATAATAATAAAAAGAAGGATGAAAAAGGGAATTATATCACAGTATGATAATGGGAAGCATCGTTTCAACTACAAGCCGGCGGAACTGACGAGGATAGCAAAGCAAGAATCTATCGGAAAAGTAAGACATGCTTTCACTAATCTCAAGTCTGTGTAGAGGTCAACAGCACTCAGCATGAAGATGAAAATAAGATCCGGATTTTCAACTCCAATATGAAGTCAGTCAGTGCTACTTACTATACGGATGGATCGGAGACTTGCACTGCGCGTCATAAAGAGCACCTCAAACAAACTACAGACCTTCATTAACAGCTACCTGTCTTCGCTCAAGATCAGATGACCGGCCAGAAAAGATCACCAACAGAGAGGGATCTCTCTCTACCCAGCAGGAACCGTTTGTGAAACAAATAGGGAGGAAGAAATGGAGGTAGGTGGATTGGCTGGCCATACTCTGAGGAAACAAACCATCAATTGAGTGACATCACTAGACAAGCCATTGCTCGAGTGGAACCTCAATAGAATGGGAAGCGGCGAGTTGTTCGTCAGTGCGAAGGTGAGGTGACTTGGAGGAGGTCATGTGAAGAGGAGATGGAAACGTGTGGTGGGGGAGACTTGGAGCCAGGTGAAGACCCTAGCAGAGAACCGAACGCAATGGAGACGCACGGCTGAAGTCCTATGTTCCTCTAGGAATTAAAGGAACCAGTGATAACAATGACGATAACAGTACAAATAAGATGATAATTAACAGTAAAAACATAGTATAAAGGTATCCGTCGCTACCGGGAAAAGAAAATGTACATTATACACAGTTCATTGGTTATCTTTAATTCACAATATTGCCAATCTGAAAATAATGTTTTACGAGTTGTATAATTTTTGTTGACTTGTGTATTTTCTCATTCTCATTTTATTTTTAAACATTACAGTTCTCAGTCTTTGAGCATAGAAAATGCCTACATTCAATTGGAATTTGATCCTAAAACTGGCTACCTGCAAGTAAGTCTTATACATGCGTTCATACATGTACACCTTTATACTATGCGATGGTGGTAATGGTTTCTAGTATTCTAAAACTCTATGCAAGCAATCAATTTCAGCATAGTAGGCACACCTCTAGACCATCTGGTGTCTTTTCAATCACCTTGGTCTAAGTCGTATCTAACTACTGTGAATGGGATATCTGTCGATGTCTTGATTGCCAATTTAATTTATCATATCAAGTAGATTAGCGCATTTATTGTGATATACAGGTAAACATAGACAAGACGGAGGTTATGAAAGTAACCAACCAACAACAACAACAGCAGCAACATCCACCGCCAATCACCATCAACAGGAGGGATTAGAAAGAGGTTACTTCATTCACTTATCTAGGGAGGGAGCATTGTCTCAACTACACCAGGAACGGACGAAGATATCGAATCGAGAATCGGGAAGGCGAGAAACACATCCATCAACCTGAAACCAATCTGGAAATCTCCGTCACTCAACTAACCATCAATAACAAAATGATTCGGATTTTCAATACAAACGTCAAGTCAGTCAGTCAGTTCTTCTATACGGATGGATCAGAAACTTGGCGGGTCACAAAGAATATTTCCAACAGCCTGTTGCACACCTTTATCAACAACAACTGTCTTCGCTGGCTCTATACTGAAGATCAATCAGACGGCCTCCGGAAAGAACAAGAACCAACAAGAAACTATGGGAACGAACAAAACAAGAAGCAATCGCCCGCCAAATATGCAGGAGAAAGAAGTGGAGATGGATTGGACACTCGCTGAGGAGGCCGCTGGGTGGGTGACATCGCGCGTCAGTCAGGCCACAGCTCGAGTGGAACCCAAAAGGGAAGCGGTGAGTGGGTCGTCAGTGCAAGGGTGACATGGAGGAGATCGTGTGAAGAAGAGTTGAAACAGTATGGACTAACATGGATGCAGATGAAAAGTGCAGCAGAAGAGAGAATCAAGTGGAGACGTGTAGTTGAAGCCCTATGTTCCACTAGGAACCCAAGGGAACAATAATAATAATAATAATTGTGATATGCTGTGAATATATTTTCCGTTTCAAAGAAGAAAAAAGAAATCAGAACTGTGGATGGAGGTGTTTGTGTGGGGGAATTTCTCACCTAGAATTATGTGTTAGCACCGAATTGTGAATTTTATATTCAAATGGAGTATAGTGTACTTTATGCGTTCTTCATATCATACGCATCTCAGGGGTGGTTGTTGATCGTTAGCTTAGCTTGACACTGGTTCGGAATTTTTTTCTCAGCCTGAGTGTATACATTTTGCTCAAGGTAACTATTAGTCATTTCGGATGAGTATCAGTAGTTAGAAATGATAAATTGTGATGCATGAATTATTATGTAACTGTAGAACTTCTACACTGTGGTAGAATGTGTAATTCCATATTACAAAACAGAAAGATTGAGCGAAGAAATATTTACTTTTCAATCAGATCCTCATCTCAATCTGGCTCTACTCTAATATATTCTGTATAGCATTTTTATTACAATACACAACAGTTTACCAAACAAGTGGCACTCATATGTTTGTTAACAATAATTAAACAGTGTCAAAATGTCAATGGGTAGATAATTAACGCAGAAAATCAATACACATTTAAAAGTAGAAATGGATAGAATAAATTAATTTTACAAGGATAACACGTAATTAAAGATGTAGTGGTCAAAATAAAAATAAAATAAGTTGGACAATTATAATTTTTAAAGGTTTAGAGGGAAGGGGCGACGTGGTCCTGTTTATGCATTCTTCTAGAGATGGCCACGGTAAGGAAAGTGGCTGTACAAATTTCTTCTGAACACATAGGCTTGGCTTTTTCAGATGGATTCCGATTGCTTCAGCTGCCCTATGTAGAAGACGAACTCATAGAGCAAAATTAAGATTAGTCGGAATGCGATAAATAATTTTAAATGCAGTATTAACATCAACCTTATGCTCAGTATCAACAAGGTGTGCTGAAATAGAACTTCGAATAGATCTTGTTTGTCTCTTGCTTAACCATGCTGGATGATGTTCGGAAATACGACGATGAACACTGTTTAATTATCGTTAACAAACATATCGCCACTTGATTGGTAAACTGTTGTGTATTGTAATAAAAATGCTATGTATATTAGAGTAGAGCCAGAGTGAGATGAGGATCTAATTAAAATGTAAATATTTCTTCGCTCAATCTTTCTATTTTCTAAATGTCTAAATGGGGATTTTCTCTATATTGAAATTCCATATTAGATAAATTTATTTTTCAATACCATACGGTGATACAGAATTAAAACAAAACTGGATGACAAAGTTTCGAGCATAAATTATTACTGCTCACAATCATATCATATCAGTTTTAGTCACACGGCTTCACAATTTGTCTTATACATCATATATCTATTTTCCTCTCTCTCTCTCTCTCTCCAACTTCCCCCACCTAACTATATTACTTTTTAATACTCTCACCCTGTCTCACCCACCCTATTTTGTGATTACATACAAGTGAATGCAATGCAGTGGCTGGCCTTCTTTTTTCTAGGTTATTCAACTTAGCAGGGTCAATCTTATTCTAAGTCTAGCTAGTGTTCCAATAATCTTATTGACCCTGATCTACTAGTTTGACCTATCTAATTGACCTCACTAGCTGTCATTACATGGCATCTGATAAATTATATATATATATATATATTATTCCTTCACATTCCCATTGGAACATAGGGCCTCAAGCTAGAGTCTTGAAGTTTCTGTAGCAGTGTTTAGTTTTTTACAGGATGAGGTTGCTAGCCTCATGCCCAACCTTTCCCCTTCACCAGCTTTATTTCTGGCTTAGTGAGGTCAAGGAGTGCGTCGGTGGCCGGGGATCGAACCCCGGACACATGGTCGGCGAGCGTTCTAACCGCTATGCCACCGGCGCATTATATATATATATATATAATTTATAAATTAAATCGGGTGGGGGTAGAGAACAAGAAAGTTGAAAATGTAAATTATTACAATTGAGAAGACAAAATAATACTAATGAAGAGACAGAAAACAAAAAAGATTAGGTAGAATTCACTTGTCGGCTAATAAGATAGATTACGTCCATTGCAAGTGTAGTGATTGAACGAACTTCTTCTGTATGCAGAGTTCAGGACTTAGCAAGTGAATCGCCATTGCTTCTGCAGTTTGAAGAAGTCTGATTCGTACACTTTTAGGAAGACTACTTCTTACTCTGTAGACGACTTTGAAGTTTGTTTGCGGTGTAGCTTGGTGTCCGGATTCTATCAGATGTTCTAAGATGGAACTGCGGGGGCATCGATTTTCTCCTTTGTAAAACCATGTTGGTAAGTGTTCGGTGATACGTTTGGAAAGCGAGCGCTGGTTACGGCCGACATACCTGGCTCCACACGAGCAGGTGAATTGATAAATACACATTGATGAGGCCAGCAGCGGTATCTTATCCTTCACGTTCACATGAATCATGGGTTTTGTGGAGAAGGTTAGTCGTAGTTCAGCTGCGAAGAAGGTCTTCTTAAGTGAGCGCGACAGTCGATTTTTTAGTGTTTCCCCAGATTTATATCTCCATTGAATTGAAGGTTCATGTAGAGTAGTTTTTTCGGGACGCTAAGCATGGGCAGCTTTTGTGGTCTAGGATTCATAGATTTTGCAATAAATCTTTCTGGATAACAATTCTCGACGAGGATTCTCTTGAGATTGTCCAGTTCATCTTCTATGGTGTCCGGGGTGCAAATTCTGCGAACTCTGTAGCTGAGTGAACGGATCAGGTGTCGTTTGGTGTATAGGGGTACCCAACTGTGAAAGTTAGTATGCTGTCCGTTATACGTCAACTTTCTGTGGATAGACCTTTTCAGTGTTCCATCCTGTTCTCGTCTTGTTAGTTGGAAGTCAAGAAAGGATATTTTAGAGTTGGACTCTTTCTCGTTGTTGTCTTTGCTATCTTTTTCTATTTACCACTATTTCTTTCTTCTTATTCTATCCTCACAGAAAATGTTCAACAAGTTAACTCAACAGTCTATGGATATTAAAATCAATTTTGTACAATATAAAACACCGAGTAATTCTGAGTCGAACAGTGGACCATATTTATTTATTTCTGATGGTATTGCAAATGTAAGTCACTGTTTTTGTGTTAATATTTCTCAGTAGATTGTGTTTATTTGTGTGTGTGTATGTGTGTGAAATGTGATTGAAGTGATTTTCATGTATAATCCCCATCCAGACATTAATGAAAACAAAACACGTAGATCAGCGAAGAGTCTCTTTTCGCCGGCGAATTCACTTTCTTAGCTGTACAATCGCAAATATGTGTTATAAGGTATGTATGTGTACAATAAGTTTGTCAAACAAAAATACAATTGGTTATAGTTATTTAAACTAAACAGGTGAAGATTGGTAATTGGAGTTACGTAACACAAAATCAGTCAAGAAAATTAAGTGTTATTGAAATCAGGGTAGTAAGAAAGGTGATGAGTTGTCACAAACAGTTGTTAAAAGAAGTTATGTAATAATATGAATAGTTTGATGAGTGAGTTTTACTCAGGATGCACATAAGAACAAAGTAGATAATACGAAATTACATAAGAGTTCTAAATGAATACAAGAATTATAAGCAATTAAAGAACAGGCAAAGAAACAAAATTAAGTCATCAAAATAAAACATAAAATAAAAAAGTTGTTACCAAGACAGCAGAAGTGGTTGAGTAATCCTCTTTTGTATGCACAGCTCCGGTTTTTCTATGTGAATGGCCAGAGCTTCAGCGATACAAAGAAGACGAAACCGTATTGTCTTTGATAGGTTATTCTTGACTCTGTAGATTACTTTGAAGGAGGTGTTTGTTGAAATGGAATGATCAGTGTTAACCAGGTGTTCAATTATCCCACTCCTTATTGCACCACTATTGCCTTTTCGCACCCAAGCTGGATAGCGTTGTTGAATCCTCTTGGACAGGGTGCGCGTCGAACGACCGATGTACCTGTCTCCACAGCAGCAGGTGAACTGATATATGCACATAGAAGTGGTCAGATGCGGGATCTTGTCTTTTGGGGCTTCTGCAGATCAGTGGGCGACTGGAGAACACTATTCTTAGCGTTGCTGCAAAGAATGTTCTTCTCAGAGATGATGTGATCCTTCTCTTGAGAATATCGCTTGCTAAATCTCCCTTGAAATCCAAGTTCATATAGAGTTTCTTTTTGGGCTCAATTAAAGTTTCGTTTCTCCGAATTCTTGGTTTGATGTTTTTGTCGATGAATCTTATTGGGTATCCATTTTGGATGAAAATTTCTCCTAGAATATCTAATTCTGTTTCCAGAACGTCGGAACTACAGATGCGTCGGATGCGGGTGGCAAGTGACTTAATTAAATTCCGCTTTTGTTGAATGGGTACCCAGCTATAGAAGCTTGTTAGTTGACCATTCCAAGCAGGTTTTTTATGGATCGATCTTCTTAGGCTCCCACCAGTTCTTCTTGTTAGTTCCACATCAAGAAACGGAATTTTTGACTCGTTTTCTATTTCAAGAGTGAATTTCATTGCTGGATGGCTGGCTATACGACCAAGTTTCGTTGTCATCAGACGACAACTAAACTAAGAAATTCAGCATTAATTTTGATGTTGATTGTGTTCTCTGAACTGGTGAATCGTGCAATTATATTAAGCTTTCGTCATTGTTCATCTTGACAACCTGTTCAGCGTTAACTTTATTGTGAATTGAGTTCGAGTTGCCACACTCCCTGCTCCACATAGCACATAAAGCTCCCCTGGCGAACGAGGTCATCCAATGGTCTCCTCAGCATGTCTCCCATCCATCTCCATCTTCTTATACATATTTTTATTCAGCGATCAATTATTCATTCCTCCATTTCCAGAGTTTCTCGTCGCTAATTCTTTCATGTCATTCATTATTCAATCTCCAATATGGAGAGAGCTAGAGAAGGCGGCACCTGTTGATAAAAAAAGTCTGCAGCTGGCTCTCAGAAATGCTTTCCGTGACGTGAGAACCAAGTTTCTAATCCAATATATAGAAGAAGTGACTGACTTGACATCGATGATGAAAGTTCAAATCGTGTTGTTGTTTATGCTGTGGAGTGCAGAAGCTCTCCAAACTGATTTCAGAGCGACGAAGGTCTGTCTTACCCTCAGATTCTAGTTTGCTTTGACATCCTCATCCGTTCCACCGTCTGTGGGTGGGTGGAACGATGTTACCTAGATAAGTGAAGGAAGTGACCTGTGTCAAATTTATTCTGTTAATAGTCATCGGTGCTAGCTGTTATTGCTGTCTGTCGGTTGATTGGTTGGTTGGTTGATTGATTGATTACCTTGATCCCCTCCATCTTCTCTATGTTCACTGGAAGTCATGTCTTCGCTGCTTCTTTTGCCAACTTGTTGGTCTTCTCCTGATAATAGGTACACGTAGCTATTTCAACCCTGGACCTAATGACTTAAATTTAGGCCGTGAAGCCAATAAACTACATCTTTACCTGTCGAAATAAATAATTATCACTTATGACTGTTACATTTAACTCGCTTATACATTTTGTAGTTAGTTAATGTTGCATTTCACCCACCTCCTTTGCTTTCGTATGAGCGCTTTTTCTTAGCAGCCAGTTAATTGGTGAGATAATGAGGGGGTTATCTAACGATTGTCTTGTGTCTTGTTGGCCGATATGAATCCCGAGACCTCTGTGTGTGTGTGTGTGTATTGACTAATTTGTTTGTTTTCCCTCTCTCTTTCTTATTTTTGTCTCAAATTTGCATTTTAGCCTATGCCACAACCAAAATCGTACAGTTATATCAAGGGGGATCTAGTTGACACAGTGACCGTGTATACAAAATTTGTTGAGCACACTGTCCGTCTGTATAAATCACGTAAGTTGTTGTGTTTTATTGTATTGTATTGTGTTGTGTTGTGTCGTGTTGGTTTCCTCTGTCAGTCTAATCTTTCTTGAAGCTACTTTTCTCTGCGTACACACCATTTTGTCTCTTTCTTTACTATTAAAAAAAACAGCAGCCCATTATTTTTATCATTATTATCTATTATTATTATAGTCAGTTTTAGTATCCAGGTCGGTCGGTCGGTTTTCGACATAGAACTTTGCACATATGTGCGCCAGTCCAAGTCGTCACACTCCCTCCATGTAGCACACAAAGCCAGAAAAGAAGAAAGTAGGAGAAATGCATATTAGAGAGAGACAGTAAACAGAGGTGTGAGACAAAGGAATAGTAATAACGAAGAACAAAACAGTTTAATTGAAAATCATAAGTCACAAGGAGTGGATGCATCTGCACCAGTCAGCCATTGAGAACGATCACTTTGAGCCATGTCACCAATTGTTTCCAGCCTTCATTGGTTTTTACCGTCCCGAGGACCCCAACCAGTCAGTCAGGAAGCCAGTCTACACCTTCCTACGTGGCTGGCTTAGACTAACTGTTGTGGATTTGATTGACTGGTGCCATGTTTTTGTTTGACCGCCGCCTATCTAGCTCTTTTCCAGCCTGACCCTATATCAGCTAACATTGCCCATTGTCGAGGAAGGCATGTCGATGACTAGGGATGCATGCGCAACACATGTCCTAACCATCTCAGTCGATGTAATTTGACGCCCTCGTCAATTGATTTCCAATTCCTCCTTCCCAACTAGCACTCGACCGATGTCCTAACCTCAATATTGCTCACCCTGTTGTACCACTTCACACGGGAGATAAAACGCAGACACCTATGATCAAAGACAGCTAGCTAGCCTTTTCATGTCTTCCACTCTCAATGGCCAGGTTTCGCAGGCAGCCATTAAGGAGGACGGAGCGGACTGCTGATCAGTACACCTGCCCTTTGGTCGACAACCAGCCGGATATCACGTCTATTAGACGAGAGACGGCGTAAACTGGCATTTGGGAAACTAGCCCTCTGTATTCGTGTTGAGATTTCGTCTGCGATCAACCCGTTGGGGCTGATGGTACTTCCACTGAATACAAGATTCGAATGTTACTAACAAATGTATGCTATCTTTCGACATCGAATCACTGTTCACCAATGTCCTATTTACAGAAACAGTATTTTTTTATATGTAAATACATAAATTCATCTTGTTGGATGCTGAATATCCTCTTTGTCATCTGCAACTTCTTCGTTGTATTTCTCATAGATCACTTAAAAATCACCCGTGAGTGGTGTAATAAGGTGAGCAATATTGAGGTTAGGCCATCGGTCGAGTGCTATTTGGCAAGGAGGAATTGGAAATCAATCGACGAGGCTGTGAAATTACATCGACTGAGATGGTTAGGACATGTGTTACGTATGCATCCCTAGTCATCGCCTTCCTCGACAATGGGCAATGTTGGCTGACTGATATAGGGTCAGGCTGGAAAAGAGCTAACCAGTGGCGGTCAAACCAAAACGTGGCTTCACCAGTCAATGAAATCCACAACAGTTAGTTTAAGCCAGCCACGTGGGAAGGTGTAGACTGGCTTCCTGACTGACTGGTTGGGGTCCTCGGGACGGTAAAAACCAATGAAGGCTGGAAACAATTGGTGACATGGCTCAAAGTGATCGTTCTCAATGGCTGACTGGTGCAGATGCATCCACTCCTTGTGACTTATGATTTTCAATTAAACTGTTTTGTTCTTCGTTATTACTATTCCTTTGTCTCACACCTCTGTTTACTGTCTCTCTCTAATATGCATTTCTCCTACTTTCTTCTTTTCTGGCTTTGTGTGCTACATGGAGGGAGTGTGTCGACTTGAACTTCCGCACATTTGTGCAAAGTTCTATGTTGAAATCAGACTCAGAGACCAGAGAATGGTGAACAATTGTTTCGACTTAATTTGTGACTCTTCAATCTTAGTGTCATCCAACGATCGCATCAGGAATTCAACCTGAGGCCTCTTTCTACTTTAAAGGTCAAGCTCGTTGATGATTCAGTCGCTTCTACTGGCTGACACTTCACCACTCTGTGCAGTACTCTGTGTTAGCTACCAATAGTTCTTTTAATGGATGTCAATCCATGATAAAACTTGAAGCACAATTGTTGGTATAGACATTTTAAAAACATTAGTATAGGTGATAGAAAAAAATCTATATTAAGCAACTAGCTAATTACCTGTTAATTTGCACATAGGTAAAAACCACTCCCTTAGATGAGTGGTTGCTTAGTTCGTCATCAGTCAAATAGAGCACAAAATATACCTCTCTCTCCACCTATCACTAAATTCCTAATAATTAATTGCGATATGTGATTGGAACATCCTGGGTTCGACTCCTAGTCAGTGGGAAAATAAGACAAAATATCTGTCCAGTACTCCCTGGCTGCTTCTATTTATTATTTTTATTTTGATTTACAGCTTGATTCCACACCGTATTTTCAGTGCAAGTATGGAATTTTCAGCATGGATATCGGTAGCCCAAATTCAGGCCGACCATAGATATCGGGTGTGCGCCGCCAGGGGATCGAACCCCGGACCATGTGCATGGTCGGCGAGAGTCCTAGCCACTGCGCCACCGACAGAAGTTAGAATTCAAGGACCATTGGATCGGGTCCCAGTGGCTCAATGGTCTACGAGCTCGCCTTGTAACCAGAAGGTCCTGGGTTCGAATCCCGGTGGGCGCGTACTGCTGAAGAGTCCCAAACTAGGCTGACGAAACAGCTGTTCAGTACTCCCAGGTTTTCCAGTGGTTGTCTAACTGATGTCAGCTCATGATAAAATCCTCCATGCAATAAAGTGAAATGATTTAAATTTCTTCATGAGTGGGCGTCCCCTTCGAATTCCAATCCAGGATTACAAATCAGCCGTGAAAAAACTCGATATGTATTCTGTAGTATCAATGCATATAGACCACTATGGTCATCAATTTGATTGGGATAATGTCGAGATCTTAGACAGAGGAAACACCAAAAGTGCAGTCAGGGAATTCCTAGAAGCCTAGTTGGTACTCAAACGAAAATGCAATTAACAAACACGTTAATTAAATAGACGAAATATACCAACTAATAAAAAGTAAATCAGGTGACCAGAAAGTTTAAAATTCAAGTCAATAGAAAATGGTCAGTACATCATATGTAAAGATGGTTACCGGGAGACGTACGCAATTCTATCACCGCTCATGAAGAAATTTAAATCATTTCACTTTATGGTAAATATTGCGCTGAAGAAGGATGTTGTCCAGAAGGGGGCCGACGAAAGCTCCTCAACTAAACCAACCAGCTCAAAGAACACTATTAATTGCAAATCATCCACCTGAGCTACAAATCTTCTCTATTATTCAATTAGTCTATTTATTGTCTCCTAGTTCTATGATGTGATTGAATATTAACTAATTTTTTTATTTATTTACATCTTTCAGCTGATATACAATCACAATTCATTGAAATTGAAAATATTGTCGATATAAGAGTGGATACACCTACAGATATTGATTTATTCATGACAATAGAAACTAACCTACTGAATGAAGATCGTGTCTTCTATACAGATTCTAATTGTTTCCAAGTAAATACCAATTGTTTATTGATTTTTTTGTTGGTTTGTTTGTTTGTTTGTGTGTTTTCCTTTCCTTTATCCTCCTCTATGATTATTATTCATGTAATAGAGAGAGAGAAAAAAGTGACAGTGAGAAAGAGATTAAGGAGGCGGGTAAGAATTAATCCCTTTTGTTCAGTTTTATCTTCTATCGTGATTTATTTTGGTGTAGTTGTACACGCCCCTTTGAACTAGTAAGATAGTTGAATTGTGAAACTTTCATTACCTGACTAGACAACATCTTCAGCACTATTTGTATATATAGACGTTTATTTCAAATTATACACTCAAGTCTGTGTGGAGGTCAACAGCACTCACCATCAAAAATAACATCCGGATTTTCAACTCAAATGTGAAGTCAGTCAGTGCCACTTACTATACGGATGGATCAGAGACTTGCACTGTGCGTCATAAAGAGCATCTCAAACAAACTACAGACCTTCATCAACAGCCAGTTGTCTTCGCTCAATACCACTCAAGATCAGATGGCCGGCCGGCCAGAAAACATCAGCAACAGACAGGGAGGGATCTCTGGCAATGAGCGAACCAACCCAACACAGCAGGAACCAACCGATTGAGAAACAAATAGGCAGGAAGAAATGGAGGTAGGTGGATTGGCTGGCCATACTGTGAGGAAACAAACCATCAAGTGAGTGACATCACTAGACAAGCCATTGGTCGAGTGGAACCCGACCGAAAGGGAAGCGGTGGCGAGTTGGTCGTCAGTGTGAAGGTGGGGTGACGTGGGGGAGGTCATATGAAGAGGAGATGAAAGCGTGTGTGTTGGGAAACTTGGAGCCAGGTGAAGACTGTAGCAGAGAACCGGACGCAATGGAGACGCACGGCTGAAGCCCTATGTTCCTCTAGGAATTAAAGGAAACAGTAATAATAATACTTCTACTTCTAATTCATTTGATTGGTCTCTAGAGTTGTTTACTGGGTAGTTACGTTTTTGGTTGTTAATAAGTTTACAGTCACTATTTTTATTGACCTGAAATTTGAACTTTGAATTTATATGACTGCCTTTTTGTATGAATTGGTAAATCTTATCTTAGTGTGTCAGTTATAATGTGTGTCTATTGATTGTAGATTTGCCTGAGAAGTTGAGTAGTAGCCGGGGGGGGGGGGGTCCTAGAAATTCTTTGGGTTCTTTGATGCTGGCTTCCCTTGTCTACAATTTGTAAATCAACCCCTAATGAGTAGTTCCTCAAGGTTAAGCTTTGTTATTATCTTTCTCATGACCCTGATTCAGGATGTGAACATCGACTTTAATTGTTGTCTACAATTTTGGCTTGCAGACAGCTCTCACCTTTGAGTAGTTGTTTCATGTGTGCGTGTGTCTGGGGGTGAATGAAAGAATGCTCATCATTCTACGCACACAGAAAGTCCAGGGGGTTCATCTCCCTGTCAAAGCATTCTGAGCTGCCCACACTTGATGAGGTACTAGGCTAATAAATCTTAACCACCCCCTCCAACAACAAACACGACAGTCGTCAGTAAATCTTCAAAGCTTAAAGTACTTATAACGTTCCATTTGCAAGAAGGCAAGTTAATCTATACCGCCCCACTACTGATAATTTTTGCAGAAGTCACTACTACTTTATACTGCATACTACTTACAAATTCTTATCAGTAGGATATAAAGCACCGTTGATTATTATTATTCCCTTGGATTCCTAATGGAACATAGGGCTTCAACTACACGTCTCCACTTGCTTCTCTCTTCTGCTGTACTTTTCACTTGCATCCATGTTAGTCCATACTGTTTCAACTCCTCTTCACACGATCTCCTCCATGTCACCCTTGCACTGACGTCCCACTCACCGCTTCCCTTTCGGGTTCCACTCGAGCACTGGCCTGACTGACGCGCGATGTCACCCAGCGGCCTCCTCAGCGAGTGTCCAATCCATCTCCACTTCTTTCTCCTGCATATTTGTTGGGCGATTGGTTCTTGTTTTGTTTGTTTCTTCCCATAGTTTCTTGTTGGTTCTTGTTCTTTCCGGCGGCCATCTGATCTTGAGTATAGAGCCAGCGAAGACAGTTGTTGTTGATAAAGGTGTGCAACAGGCTGTTGGAAATATTCTTTGTGACACACTGGCCAACTTTCTCATCCGTATAGAAGAACTGACTGACTTGACGTTTGTATTGAAAATCCGAATCACTTTGTTGTTGATGCAGGCTGAGTTGAGTGACAGCGGAAGATTTCCAGATTGGTTTCAGGTTGATGAATGTGTTTCTCGCCTTCCCGATTCTCGATTTGACATCCTCGTCCGTTCCTCCTGTAGTTGAGACAATGCTCCCTCCCTAGATAAGTGAATGAAGTAACCTCTTTCAAATCCCTTCCGTTGATGGTGACTGCCGCTGGATGTTGCTGCCGCTGCTGCGCAACAGAAACTTCAACACATAAATATATTAAAAATACCGTTGATTACCTGTAAAGTAATCAATTTTCTTTTGTTCTCCCTTTCATTCCTACCTTTCTTTTTCAAAAAAACATAGTTTATTGAACGAAAGTATTATGATAAAATTCCATTACAAGGCAATATCTATCCGATAGCTTGTGGTGCATATATCGAACACGCAGAACACCAGGTGAATAATGAACAAACAACTATGAGAAAGAAACGTATGAACATATTTACTAGTCATTCAACTGGTGTAGTCAGTCCAAAAATAGGTCAATTAAATATATGGCTTGATCGTCGATCAAGTAGAGATGATTCACGTGGTATTGCATCAAATCTACATGGAGATTGGATTGTTCAATCAAAATTATATTTATTTACAGAAGAAATTACAACCTCATTAGACAACAATGAAGCATCGAAACAGGTAAGCGTGATTATTTAACTTATATCTGTATGTGTGTGTGGCGTTCACATTTAAACAACACTTATAACTTTGAACAAAGCAAGAACAACAATTGTATCAGGATAATATGAGCTCATCTTTTCTTGTTATTTCGAGGATTCTTCTCAACTGGTTACAACCTGAACGATAAAAAAAATATGAATTACATTACATTCAAGATTTGAACATACTTTTCCACGATCACAAGGAGTAATTGGTAGGAGGTAAAAGTAACATTAGTCGGGAATGATTTAACTAATTAAGAGTTACAAACACTGACTATTTATAGAATAATTAGACAATTAGGCTTGGAAACAAAAAACAGAGTTGCGTATATATGAGTGTGTGTATAGAAACAAGGTTTAGCTAGAAAGGGCATAACAAAAAGAGGCAGATTACGTAACTAAAGAAAATGTTTTATCTAATAGCCAATAGAAAAAGAAAAGAACGAGGTAAGGTGAGTCATGTTTAGAAGAGAGAGTAGAGTTTTCTAAACAAGAAAAAAGGTGACTCATAAAAGTTGTATATTTTTTGTTATTACCAGGGCAGTGCAAGATTCACCACTGTCTCTTTCTGCGTACATAAATTTGGTTTAAGTCGTTTGATATCAATTGCTTCAGCAAAGCGTAGCAAGCTAGGTTTCTTTTGCTTGTTGATTATTTTGAATGACTTCAGGTTGTTTACAATATGACCAGTGTCCAGTAGATGAAGCGCAATCGCACTGTTTAATGCTTGTGGACCTTTCAGTCTCAGGTTCTTTGGTATGTGTTCAGAAATGCGAACAATAACCCTTCTCTCTGTTCTTCCAATGTATATGCTTTGGCACGTACATGTAAATTGGTAGACACAGTTGGAGGTAACATGAGGGTATTTGGGTATTTGTCCACTTTTGATTGTCTCAAACAACTAGTTGTTTGATAAACACATACAAGCTTGGCGGGTGGATATGTTCTATTCAGGGCAGCGTTCAGTCTACATCTTATTCTACTAGCAGTATCATCACCTTTGAATGCAAGCTACAGAAAGATAGGCTTTTTCTCTACTGTGCTGCTTTTCACTTTTGTCATTTTTCTTTAGTTACGTAATCTGCCTCTTTTTGTTATGCCCTTTCTAGCTAAACCTTGTTTCTATACACACACTCATATATACGCAACTCTGTTTTTTGTTTCCAAGCCTAATTGTCTAATTATTCTATAAATAGTCAGTGTTTGTAACTCTTAATTGGTTAAATCATTCCGGAATAATGTTACTTTTACCTCCTACTAATTACTCCTTGTATTCGTGGAAAAGTATGTTCAAATCTTGAATGTAATGTAATTCATATTTTTTTATCGTTCAGGTTGTAACCAGTTGAGAAGAATCCTGGAAATAATAATAAAAGATGAGCTCATATTATCCTGGTGCAATTGTTGTTCTTGCTTTGTTCAAGTTTATTAATGTGAAGAATTGCATGAAACTTATGACTTTCTCGAAATGGACTTTCGTGTTCAATTCATTCACTTTTCACGTTGTATCACACAACTTAGGTCCAAGTGCTAAGATTCACATTGTGAATTGAAGATAGTGTGGAACATCAGAATAATAATTGAACACGTATTTTTCTGGACAAATAGGAAAGATTTCAGTAAATGAAATATCTCCATATTGAAATCAAAACAAGATCTTGAGCGAACAATTGTTTTCGATAACTTCTTCTTCAGGCTCTACAGTTATAAATCCATGAATAATAGAGTACACATATAGCCAATAAAGGCAAATGAAAATAATATCAGAAACTGTATTGAGGTGCATGTGTAAGTTGAGATGATAGTCCATTAGTTAACATAGTCAATCAAATGTGTATAGGGTGTATAGTCAGAAAAATGTGATGAAGTGTGAATGAACAATTGGGTGAGATAGTGCTGTTTTATAGTCAACAGAATACAAGTGTCATTGGGGTGAGAGAAATGCGATAGCCACAAAATTATTTATTAATTTATTTATTTAAACGCAGAAAAACTTGGTACAATATGGCACCAAGAAAGATGCGCCACACAATAATAATAAAACAACATAGATTAAAAGCAAAAATATAAGTAGAAAACGGATAAAGAACTTCATCTGGAAGGAAAGCAGTCATGCTTCACAGGTTCAAACAGTATTCGTTAACTATCATCAGGAAGGGAAGAAAGAAGGAAATTGCAACACGTTCGCCATTGATGATCGCGATTCTTGGCCATATCCGATAACGTTTCGAGCCATCGATTCGAGCTATCTCGCAGACCCCAACCAGGGAGTCGTGACACACCAACCGATGCTGATCTAGCACAAATACCCTTCACCCCACGACGCCACGTCATGGACTGACCACCCGTCCGCCTTTTCCATCCCGTCCCAGGGCTAGCGAACAGAGACCTGTACGGAAGCCTCTGGGATGACATCCGCAGCACATGTCCAAGCCACCGGAGCCGGTGTTTCCAGATAACGACACTCAATGAATGGTGATCTCCACTGTGTTCAAACACACGCCACCGAACCTCAGAATTACTCACGCGATGATGCCATCGAACGCAAGAAATCCTGCGGAGACAGCGATGATCGAACACGCAGAGTTGCCGCACAAAATACATACAAACGCACATTAACAAAGGGGACACTGAATGTGAGGGCTGACCGATAATGTCTGATGATAAAATAAAGAGGTTAAATTGTAAATTGTAATAAGATGTTACAGAATTGGTAGGCTTAGTATAAAATCGCAAAGGTTGACAAAATTAAGGGTAACGATGAGGTGAAATAAACTGGGTGGAGAAATGGATAATAAAGACATGATATTACAAAATGATAATAATGGTAATAATAATACGAAAAATTATGATCCTGGTGATCTTATAGTGGGCCAAGGTGGACAGAATCTGTACACATAAGTCTGACCTTTCTCTATTAATCTCTAAAGCCTCAGCTATAACTAGGAGGCGTAATCGTGTGCCCTTGAGGAGATTGTTCGATACTCGATACACAAATGTAAATGACTCATCTACTTCGATGCTGTGTTCGATATCCACTAGATGAGACAGAATTGCACTATTTAATGATTTGGTTGCTCTTTTCCCAAGCCAAACTGGAATATGTTCACGAGTGCATAAAGATAAATTCCTTTGTCAACCTTTGTGATTTTATACTAAGCCTACCAATTCTGTAACATCTTATTACAATTTACAATTTAGCCTCTTTATTTTATCATTAGACATTATCGGTCAACCCTCACATTCAGTGTCCCCTTTGTTAATGTGTGTTTGTATGTATTGCGTGGTTATCGCATTTCTCTCACCCCAATGACACTCGTATTCTGTTGACTATAAAACAGCACTATATTATCACCCAATTGTTCATTCACACTTCATCACATTTTTCTGACTATACACCCTATACACATTTGATTGATTCTGTTAACTAATGGACTATCATCTCAACTTACACATGCACCCCAATACAGTTTCTGATATTATTTCCAATTGCTTTTATTGACACATTTGGCAACTCTGTAACCAATATCTAAGAGGTATAATACACATCTAGAAGAAGGTGAATCTTCCACATTCTAGATCTCTTTTCTTAATAAAGGCTGTTGAGAAGACTAGAATGAAGCATCGACTGTAGGCATCATCATAGCGACTTCGTTAAGTTATTGGGTTAACAGTGCACAATGCCTCAAATTTACTGAGATTAATACTTCGTAATTAGAAGTTAATTGGTGGATGGTGACTAGCAGTAGAATCCAGGATGCATATTTCGTCCAATTTGGGACTCGTCCGCCAACTGGATGTATCTGCATTCCTCAGTGAGTGGTGATTTCCCCAGTGAGTGTCGAACCCAGTGGCCATAGTTTCAAACGTCAAAGCGTTATCCACTAGACCACTTGTGTCACAAGAGAGCCATCTCTTGGAGTGAACCGAAGTGCTCAGTCTCAGGTTGACATGACACCTATTTACACTCCTTGAAGAACAAGCTGTACTCACTTGCATTTTTGAATAGCTTTCAACATATCGATTGGTATGTTTTGAAGAGGAGAAGAAATACGCTGAGAGATAATGGGGAACATATTCCAGAAATAAACAAAATTCTTTTGAATGGTTAACTATGCAGATTACAGTTTTATTGTTTTTTGTGATGATTTTGTATAAGAAGATAAAATTAAACTGAAAATTCTCTACTGTATATAAGAATTTTGTTCAGAAACCAGTTATTAGTAATGTTTGTTAGATGGTTGGAAGCAATGAAATCCATAACAGTTAGTTTAAGTCAGCCAGGCAGCCAGTCAGCCACGTAGGGAGGTGTAGACTTTTTGACTGACTACTGGTTGGGCTCCTCGGGATGGTAAAAACCAATGAAGGCTGGAGCAGATGCATTCATTCTTTGTGATTTATCATATTCAATAAAGCTCCATTATCCTTGCATATTACTACTCTTATTGATCATAGATGTAAAATTGTAAAAAAATTATATTTGTAAAATCTCAGCGAGATTGAAATGAGTAATTCCAACGTTCCTTGGGTTCGGCAATCTGGTCCGAACTTCTTCAGGGAAATTAATCCAAATTAACATAACAGAGGTTTTATATATAAAAGGAACATCACTTGTTTTTAAAAACTTTGTCCAATCACGAGTCATTCAACAACTATTAACAAGTATAATAAACAAAATTTTATGAGCTGTGAACAAAATTTGACCTCGGACTTACAAATATTAGTCTACCCTTTGTTAAAAACTTTAAACAGAGTGTGTATGTGTGTGGGTAAACAGTTGTAAAACATTTCTTGACGACTCCATAAGAAGATATGGACAGTCGACAATTTTGACCAAGTATTAATAATTGGTGATACATATCCATTTTTTATTTATTAATCATGGTTTGCCATGCATCAGCTAACATCACGCCTTCATGTCTGTTCAAACTGTTAGTATCTAGAATTTTATGATTAGACGTATTTTCAAAATTATGGAGTTTAGGATTAGAGTTTAGCAGAAGCACCCTGTTGGACTTATTGCTTTGTCTTCTTTTTGAAGATTGAGCTGCTTTAATCGACCTAGTGGAGTTGTCAGGTGACTCGACAGCTACGGATTTAGGATATGCATTATTCTGTTGCAGGAGGAAGTGGAGATGGATTGGAAACTCGCTGAGGAGGCCGTTGAGTGACATCGCGCGTCAGGCCCTCGAGTGGAACCCGAAAGGGAAGCGGCGAGTGGGACGTCGGTGCAAGGGTGACATGGAGGAGATCGTGTGAGGAGGAGATGAAACAGTATGGAATAACATGGACGCAAGTGAAAAGAACAGCAGAAGACAGAAGCAAGTGGAGACGTGCAGTTGAAGCCCTATGTTCCACTAGGAACCCAAAAGAACAATAATAATAATTATTATTCTGTTGCAGACAACGGAGAGTGAAAACACGATGATTGTGCCAATTACACAGTTTCTTTGTTAATTTAATTCGATTGCAAAATAATTCAAATGAACTGTCGCCAAGACTTGACAGAATATTTCTAAAATATTTGGGCGCCGAGTGACCTGTTATGTTAATTTCGATTAATTTCCCTGAAGCAGTTCGGACCAGATTGGCGAACGAAACATTGGAATTACTCATTTGAATCTCGCTGAGATTTTACAAATATAATTTTTTACCTTAGGCGTTTGTTTGTAATGATTAGATTTGTTTTCCCCGGTTTGGCGACGGATTGATATCAGCTAGAAAACCATTGAAAACCAGCACTGGAGTACTGGACAGCCAGCTGTTTCATCCTAGTTTTGAGAATCATCGACAGAACACACACCCACTGGGATTCGAACCCAGGACCTTCCGATTACAAGGCAAGCTCGTATGCCATTCAGTCACTGGGACCTGAGATCCCTGGAGTTTTCTAGTGAGAAGTCGTGACCAGTGAGGTCCAACCAGTTAAGTGTGAGAGCATGGATTTCCCACCGATGACATTGGTTGGTTGGTGCCAGTCGCGCTAAATCACGAATTGGTAGAAGTTAGAATTCATGCACTGGCTGGTCATTGAATCGGGTCCAAGTGGGGCTGACTCGTATACGTGCTTGCCTTGTAACCGGAAGCTCCTGGGTTCGAACTTCCTGTGGTGGGTGCATACTGCCGATGATTCCCAAACTAGGCGGAAAAAACAGCTCTCCAGTACTCCAATGCTGGTTTTCAATGGTTCTCTAACTGATATCAATCCGTGGTCAAACTCGTTTAAAAATATGGATATTAAAAAGACAATTGCAGCGAAGAAAATTTTCTTTTCGACGAAGTCATCATCTAGGCTGTACATTCGTGTATTCATATCAAATGGATAGGAAAGTTCCAGAATTATTTCCGGTTAAGGGTCAAATTAATAAAAATTACAATTAGGAATTAGAATGCCATAATAAACAGGGGGATGGGTAAAACTCGAACAATGTAGCATTATAATAACCAGATGTTGTGTCACTGAACTGTATACACGTTTTCGGTCTCCTTTTACTAGCCAGGCTGGGTAGTGTTAATCTAGAATTCAAAGGTGATATTGGAGCAGAAATCCTTCGCAAACGCCTCTGCAAATCTCTTAGGAAAACATACCTCGCCGCGAGCCTACGACTGACGTTTTCTTACAAGAAACTGTTCAGCCAGATCGTGAAAGACAAGCCGTCGCATCGGGCCACCTCAACGTGCATATACCAGTTTACTTGCTCTTGCGAACGCTACCCAGCCTGGCTAATAAAAGGAGACCGAAAACGTGTAAACAGTTCAGTGACAGAACATCTGGTCAACTCCGGACATTCATTGCCTTTCGAAAAATCCTTCAAAGTAATATACAAAATTCAATCAAACCTATCAAAGGGAGTGAAATCAAGACATCTGGGCATAGCTGAGGCGCTAGCTATCCAAAAGCTCAAACCCACACTTTGTATCCAAAAGAATTACGTCCAACCCCTCTCCCTGCCATGGCCATCATAAACAGGTAAAATTTTTTTTAGTAATGTGATTAACTGGAATACGGTAGATAACTTTCGATGTCTTGTTAACATCAATTTTATGTTCTGTATCCACGAGATAAGATAGAATAAATAGAGTTATAAATGAACTTTGTTTATTTCATGCTTAACCATGCATGCAGGATGGTGTTCAGAAATTCTTATCTAAACTTCCTGTTTATTCATGTTATTTTAAGTTTTCCTTAATCCCTGTCTACACTACCATATTTTCATATCCACTCTTCCTGTTTATTTTGTAGTTTTACTATTTCTACATATTTAATCCCTGATTGCATAAACAATTATTCATCACATTAGTTTTTTATCCAAACATCCTGTATATTTTGTTATTTTTACATTTCTAACCCCCAATTGCACAATGTCAATCTTCTTAGTTATTATGCTACCTTGTTCGAGTTTTATCCATCCCCCCGTTTATTATGGCATACTAATTCCTAATTGTAATTTTTATTAATTTGACCCTTAATCGGAAATTATTCTGGAACTTTCCCATCCATTTGATATAAATACACGAATGTACAGCCTAGATGATGACTTCGTCGAAAAGAAAATTTTCTTCGCTGCAATTGTCTTTTTAATAACTCCTATGACCCAATGTGTATATTCCGAAATATGGATATTTTGCAAATATATATAAATGTTTTTATTAAATTACACCACACATAATTATGTCTTTGTTTTTACTCACCCACTTACCCACCCTCATTGTCACTCTGTTTTTTAGACTACTATACCAAGTTTAACGTTATTCGCTCAACAAATATTGAATTATATAAGTCAACCAGCGCATAAATTTCTGGTCAATGATCTTAATTTAAACAAATTACTCACACTGGAGTATAACTTAATACCGCAATCTGGTTTACAATGTGATTATGAATTAGTGACAATGAAGACATTTCATAATAGCAAAATACCAAAAAGTAAGGCATAATTTTTTTAAATTTTTCATGAGATAATTTAGAATATTCCCTTTTTTTTGAAAAAGTCAGTTTTTTGTACGGCTTCGATTTAAGATTATTCAATCTCATGGAGTGATTGATGTGTCATTTAGTGGGACAGTGGACAACTAACTCTTCAGTAGTACTCACGCATTACTGAAAGAGTTGCCTCGTGGGTGCGATCATTGACGACCACCTAACCACACACAAAAGACTTGGAGGATCTACACTTCGCCGATGCGATATATGTCTGATTTCCCACAAACTGGAAGATATGCAAGCGAAAAGCAACAAGTTGGTAGAAGAAGCATCCAGAGAAGATGAGACTTACTTCAGGTGAACATAGAGAAAACAGATGTGGTGATGAAGATTCCTGGCCAACACCACCAACAGCAACAACAACAACAGACAACAATCAGCGTAAATGGAATGAACCTGAAAGAAACAACCTCTTTTACCTACCTACCTACCTGGGAAGCATCTTTTCAACTACAGGCCGGGGGAACTGACGAGGATATCAAAGCAGCGAGGATCGGGAAAGCAAGACAAGCTTTCAGTACTCTCAAGTCTGTGTGGAGGTCAACAGCACTCACCATCAAAACGAAGATAATATCCGGATTTTCAACTCCAATGTGAGTGAAGTCAGTCAGTGCCACTCACTACACGGATGGATCAGAGGCTTGCACTGCGCGTCATAAACAGCATCTCAAACAAACTACACACCTTCATTAACAGCTAGCTGTCTTCGCTCAATACTACTCAAGATCAGATGGCCGGCCGGCCAGAAAACATCACCAACAGAGAGGGATCTCTGTCAATGAGCGAACCAACCAACCCAGCAGGAACCAACCGATTGTGAAACAAATAGGCAGGAAGAAATGGAGGTAAGTGGATTGGCTGGCCATACTCTGAGGAAACAAGCCATCAAGTGACATGACTAGATAAGCCATTGGTCGAGTGGAACCCGACAGAATGGGAAGCGGTGGCGAGTTGGTCGTCAGTGCGAGGGTAAGGGTGACTTGGAGGAGGTCATGTGAAGAGGAGATGAAAGCGTGCGTGTGGGCAGACTTGTAGCCAGGTGAAGACTCTAGGAGAGAAGTGAACGCAATGGAGACGCAAGGCTGAAGCCCTATGTTCCTCTAGGAATCAACGGAAACAATAATAATAATAACCATTTGGGTCGGAATCAAATGACCTATTTTAATTTTAATTTCCTGTCAACTGGTGGCTCTAACACCGACGACTAGTGTAATAGCCAATGTCAGTCATCAGCGAATATTTCACCCCACATCCGATCTGATAAACTCCACTGATTGATCAGAACTTCGCCTTAAATCCAGTTACTATTGAACATCAGATTAATTTTTAACAATTAGTGCTATAGGGGGTGAATGCGCTTTATTATGCGAGTAGTTGGTAGACAATCACTTTACTGTACAACCCCTATAGATGTGATTCCACAAGTACTCTCAAATTTTCATATATATACACAGTTGGAAGTGTCAAGGATCGATGAGACTAGAGTATTCAGTTGACAAATTCTAATGAAATTTCATGAATTCATTAAATCATGCTTTATTATCAACACATGTGTTGCTTTTAATTATTGGAGGATTTCATCATGAGGTGACGTCGGTTAGAAGAACCATTGCGGAAACCAATAGTGGGAGTACTGGACAGCTGTTTCGTCAGCCTAATTTGGGACTCTTCCCCAGTATGCGCCCACCGGGGTTGGAACCCAGTACCTCTGGTTACAAGGTTAGGGAGCTAGCTCGTAGACCATCAAGCCACTGATACCCGATCCAATGGCCCATGAATTTCAATACTTGAATATTAATGAGATGCTCGCTAGCGACTAGCCCTATTCAGGTAGATAGTTACCTGGAGTTCTAGTGGGACGTCGTGACCAGTGTCTGTAAGTATGGTATGTGCTTTGCGCCGTCTAAGTGCAAAGTACTGTTACAAGATTGGCAGGAGCCTGTACCTGCACTCACTCTTGCGGGTGAACCGCCTAAAGTTGTTGATAAGTTTGTGTATCTGGGTAGTTGTGTGAGTGCTGGCGGAGGAGTGACGGATGAGATTTCCAACCGTATAATGAAGGCTAGGGTGGCATACATCAACTTGTGCCACCTCTGGCGCCGTCGCGACGTTAGCCTGGCTGTCAAAGTTGGTCGGGTATACAATGCTTCTGTGCGGGCTGATTGGCTCTGCACCTGTGAAACCTGGCCCCTCCGAGCTGAGGATGTGCGGCGACTCTCCGTGTTCGATCATCGCTGTCTCCACAGGATTGCTTGCGTTCGATGGCATCATCACGTGAGTAATTCTGAGGTTCGGCGGTGTGTGTTTGAACACAGTGGAGATCACCATTCATTAATTGTCGTCATCTGGAAACACCGGCTCCGGTGGCTTGGACATGTGCTTCGAATGTCATCCCAGAGGTTTCCGTACAGGTCTCTGTTCTCTAGCCCTGGGACGGGATCGAACAGGCGGAGGGGTGGTCATTCCATGACGTGACGTCGTGGAATGAAGGATATTTGTGCTAGATTAGCATCGGTTGGTGCGTCACAACTCCCTGGTTGGGGTCCGCGAGATAGCTCGAATCGATGGCTCGAAACGTTATCGAATATGGCGAAGAATCGTAATCAATGGCGAACGTGTTGCAATTTCCTTCTTTCTACCCTTCCCGATGATAGTTAACGAATACTGTTTGAACTTGTTAAACATGACTGTTCTCCTTCCAGATAAAGTTCTTTATCCGTTTTCTACTTATATTTTTTACTTTTAATCCATGTTGTTTTATTATTATTGTGTGGCGCATCTTTCTTGGTGCCATATTGTGCCAAGTTTTTTTTCTTCTGCGTTTAAATAAATAAATACGTCGTGACAAATAGGGTAAAGTAGGTCGGGTGTGAGAACAGTTACTCACCACCGATGACATTGACTGTTAGAGTTCATCGGCTGGGCATTGGATCGGGTTCCAGTAGCTTAATGGTTTACAAGCTCGCCTTGGAATCAGAGGCTTCTGAATTCGAACTCTGGTGAGTGCGTACTCATGGAGAGTCTCAAACTAGGCTGACAAAACAGCTGTCTAGTACTCCACTACTGGTTTTCCAAATGGTTCTCTCTCTAACCGATGTCAGCTCATGATGAAATCTTGTAACATTTGTCGCTTGTTTTGATGTTTGTTTTTCTCCTCGAGTATTTTTTTATTAAATGGTCGCGTTGTATTTCCTTTCCTCACATTTTCTTCAACAGGTTTTCATGCTGCACCAAATACACAAGTTGGTATTATCATTCGACGTTATCTACCGTTTTGTTATGCAACCAAATTACCGTTAATTGATTTCTACACACAATGTTTCGTTTCTCGTGTAGAAAATACTGTAAGAATTCTGTTCTCTTTTTTTTGTTCTTATAGTTGTTGGTATTATTTTTACTTATGTGGAATCCAGCATGCACGTTTCAATCCATATGGAACTCATCAACTTGATGGATGCAGGTGTCTGCATCCCCACTCTTTAATTTGAATGTAACCAACACCCATCTCTTTTAACATCAAATCACGTAGGAAGGTATAGACTGGCTTCCTGACTGGTTGGGGTCCTCGGGACGGTAAAAACCAATGAAGGCTGGAAACAATTGGTGACATGGCTAGCTCAAAGTGATCGTTCTCAATGGCTGGCTGATGCAGATGCATCCACTCCTTGTGACTCACTTATGATTTCCAATGAAACTGTTTTGTTCTTCGTTATTACTATTCCTTTGTCTCACCACACCTCTGTTTACTGTCTCTAATATGCATTTCTCGTACTTTCTTCTTTTCTGGCTTTGTGTGGTACGTGGAGGGAGTGTGGCGACTTGAACTGTCGCACACATGTGCAAAGTTCTTTATCGAAAACCGACCGACATCAAATCACATGCTTTCAGACGATGAGTTCTAATTAAGAAGAAACAAAACCGCCTCGGATTCTACTGCTAGACCACCTTTCCACCCCCCCCCCCCCCATCATAAACCCAATAACATTATGTGTTATCCTGAAGGCAAGCGTCAAGCGTCTGTTCTAATAGAGCTGCCAATGGGAATATACACTGCCAGAAAGAAAAAATTTCAGGAAACAACATTTCAGAAATTTTCTGCATGTGTTTTTCATTCATTAAAGCCTTAAGAGTATTCTACTCTATTCTATAAGAAGCATTTTTATGACAACGATGATGGGTAAAAATTTAAGTTGGAAGAAGAAAATTATTAAGGCTTGATCTCCAATTCGACAACACAATTATTTTGTGGCGTCGGTGGCTTAGGGGTAGAATGCGCTCGTCGGGCCATGCTTTTGTGGCGTCCAGGGTTCGACGCACTCCTTCACCTCGCTAAGCCGGCATAGAGGGAAGGTTGGGTGGGCATGAGGCTAGCTAGTAACTCCACCTCGTGAAGCATAAAACACCATCGCTGCCGATACTTCAAGCCTCGAGCTTGAAGTCCTATGCTCAACTGTGAGAAAGTAATAGATTACCAGTTTGGAGAATTAAAGATTGTCTGTGATGCCGTTTAATCAATTACGATAGATTAACTGGATGTTTTATGATAAATTATATATATATATATATATATATATATATATTAGTAATAAGTGACTTAATAAGGAAGAGTATACAAATTGAATAGACAAAATTGAAAAAATGAAGAATTGGTAGAGCTAAAATATGATTGCGGATTACCATACTTTAGCATAGAGGGATTAAGACCATGAAAGTTGGAGGGGTTGAACGAACTTTTTCTGTACACAGAGATCTGGCTTTTCTGTTTCGATAGCCAAAGATGGCTTCAGCAATACAGATGAGTCGGGTACGTAGAGATTTGGGTAAATTACTCTTTGCCTTGTACATGAATTTAAAGGCGGAGGCTATAAAGATAGAGTGATCATTATCGACCAGATGTTCAATGATCGCGCTTCTTATTGCTCCACTTCCACCTTTTCGTAACCATGCAGGATAGTGTTTTTGCACCCTCTTGCACAAAACTCGAGTCAAACGACCGATATACCCTAGCTCCACATGAGCAGGTGAATTGATAAACACACATAGAGTTGGTCAACAACGGGATCTTGTCCTTCAGGTTATTGAACAGTAATGGTCGACTAGTAAAGGCTATTCTCAGAGATGCAGCAGGGAATGTTCTTTTCAGGGACTGTGATATCCTTCGTTTCATGATATCGGAAGCTAAGTCCCCTTAGAATGGGAATTTTCCATATATACATATATATATATATATACTCCTTGACATGATTATCTTCTATGCAGGCGATTTCATGCCATTTTGTTTAAATATTTTAGGTAAATTATTTCACGAAAGTTTACATCTTGAAACTAGTTGTCCAGTTGTGCATCATGAATATTAGAGTTGGAAATAGTTTAATCCCTGAAGGTTCCCCACAAAATGAGATTTCACATGCATTTCTATAAGCGAAGATAAATTATTCAGCACCCCTGAAACAAACCTTTGCAAACGACGCTATATACTACTATTTGGCTACCAGGTCATATATTAGCCAGTAGTGCTTGTTGTCCAACCAGATCGAAATGATCTGAAAATCCCTTCCCTTCCCCTCACCAGGACGGTAATTTCGGGCATTTTGGAACAAAGTTCTATCTGTCTATCTGTTTTCAACATAGAACTTTGCACACATGTGCCACAGTTCAAGTCGCCACACTCCCTCCTTGTAGCACACAAAGCAAGAAAAGAAGAAAGTAGGAGAAATGCATATTTGAGAGAGACAGTAAACAGAGGTGTGGTGAGACAAAGGAATAGTAATAACGAAGAACAAAACAGTTTAACTGGAAATCATAAGTCACAAAGAGTGAATGCATCTGCGCCAGCTAGCCATAGAGAACGATCACTTTGAGCTAGCCATGTCACCAATTGTTTCCAGCCTTCATTGGTTTTTACCGTCCCAAGGACCTCAACCAGTTAGGAAGTCTACACCTTCCTACGTGGCCTAGACTAACTGCTGTGGATTTCGTTGACTGGTGAAGCCATGTTTTGGTTTGACCGCCGCTAGCTAGCTCTTTTCCAGCCTGACCCTATATAACCTAAGGTCAGTTTGACTCAACTACTCATAACAACCAATCAATCAGTAGTATGTAACGTCCTCCACATTTATGATTGCTCTTTTGATTACCGTCTGTCTATAGTATCACACATTGCAATCGGAATAATTTCCGTTTCCCAAGGGGTTAACTCTCGAACTGTATAGTTTGCGTAAGTGTGGAGAAGTCAATCCAAGATCTGTACAGATGATGTATGATGGGTACTCACACCCTAATGACTCATCATCACACATTTGAAAGAGAATAGCCTATCCGTGTTTTGTATTTGATTGGTGTATGGTGACTAGTAGTGGAATTCAGGATGCGCATTTCGTCCTATTTGGGACTCGTCATCTGGATGTACCTGCATTTCAATTAAATACTAATTAAATGCCCAGACATCGTCGAAGCATCTGCCAACAGACATGTCAACCTGAGACCGAGCACTTCGGTCCAATCAATCGACGGGAAAATCTAAAATTCAATTAAATAATTAATATGACCCGTTGCACAAGAGGTGGCTCTCTCGTGGCCCAAGCGGTCTAGTGGATAACGCTTTGGCATTTGAAACTATGGGCACTGGGTTCGAGCCTTGGTGAGAACATCACCACTCACTGAGAAATGCAGGTACATCCAGCTGGCGGACGAGTCCCAAATAGGACGAAATGCGCGTTATCCTGGATTCCACTGCTAGTCACCATCCACCAATTAAATACCAATTAGATGCCCAGACATCGTCGAAGCATTTGCTCAGGAAGCCGACATGTCAACCTGAGACCGAGCACTTCAGTCCAATCACAATCGACGGGAAAATCTAAAATTCAATTGTATCCGTATTTTGTTTGCATAACTTACTCATCAAATGGTTGATTTTAGTGTTACTCTTACTGTATTCCCTTATGTGTATTTCTTTTGCTATTTTCAGTGGAATGTAAAGGAGTTCTTCAATTCTCTTCAAGTATCTCATGCAATACAAACCAATTTAACCTTGATTCCATCACCTTCATCACCCCCATCACTATCGGTGAATAGTAATGACTATAGAATTGCAGAACTTGATGAGATTCATGTAAAGCCTATGGAATTAGAAGCTTACTATCTTGTTTAAATGATTCCTGTTTTGTTTTGTTTTATTGTATTTTTTGTTCATTTTTGTTTGTATCATTGTTCCTCCTCCCCACCACCTCCTACTACTCTAGTTTATCTCTTCCCCCCCCCACATGTTTTAAGATTTCTCTATTCAACTTCTTGAATAACAACAGCAGTGTTGGAGGTATATATATATATCTATCGCGTGTATGTGTGCCTGTTTTTGAAGGTTATCTCAATGTGTGTTTAGTGTTCTCGTGCTGTTGTTTTTTTGCGGCTTCTTCTTCTTCTGCGGTTTAATTCCCCGCCTGTGCATTCATTCATTCATTCCTTCATTCATCACTAACTCAAATGTGTACGCACCTGTTTGCTTACACATACACCCACGCACGTACGCACACTCCCACGCACAAACAAAGATGTTTGCACATTTCTCTGTCTTATGTGTACAAATCAAATAGGTTTTTATTATAACTTCTTCTATCTTGATCTGCTTATTTTGCGGTTTTTATTCACACTGTGATAATATATATACATGTGCATATATATATATATATATATATATATATTACTTCTCCCCTCCCTTCTTCTTTCAAATAATGACTATTCTCAGTCATCAAACTACACGAAATAATCTCATCGAAAGATAAACAAACACACAATTACGCACACACACAAACACACATACACCTACACAGAGAGACACACGCACCTTCTTATATATATATAATCTCACATGGTGTATTCTGGATCATTTTATCTTTTATGATGACTTAATGTACACTGAGTGACTGAGTGAGTGAGTGGCTACGTGGATGAGTGAATGAACTAATGTTGTATGTTGTTACGTAATAATACTCATAAGAAGAAGAAGAAGAATAAAGCATAACTAGTCATTCTATAGACAATTTTTGACTTTTATGTATTTATTCAATATATTTATTTCTTTATATACAAAAGAAATATCCAGAAATAATTGTAATAATTAGGCAGTTTAAAGTTTCAATCAACAACTCACTGACTGACTGACTGATTGACATATCAGGCAACATAATGATAACCATTCGGACATTAGTAGACAAAAGACAAGTAGTTCAGCAAAGAGTCTCTTTTCGGCGAATTCATTTTCAAAGCTGTACAATTGCAAATGTATCTGGTTATTTTGTATATATATATATATATATATATATATATATATATATATATATATATACATTAAATTTGTCAAACGAAAATACGGTTAGTAAGTTCAAATGAATTGAATGTTGATAAGAAGATAGCAACAAAAGTGATGAGTTGTCAAAAACGATTGTTAAAGAGGAGTAAGTTCAGGTGAATTGGATGTTCATATAAGAGGATAGTAACACAAGTGATGAGTTGTCATAAATGATTGTTAAGTAAGAGTTACGCAATGGCATGAATAGTTTGATGAATGAGTTGTACTCAAAGAGTGAGCATGGAAACAAAATAGTATACAGAATTACAAAAGGGTTTTAAGTTAGAAAAATAAGCATACAAACAGAAGTAAGGTCAAATCAAACAAACAAAGAAGGGTTGGGTCAAATCAACGGAGTTGTTACCATGCGAGTAGAAGTGGTTGGATGATTTTCTTTTGTATGCATAGTTCTGGTTCCACCAACTGGATGGCTAGGGCTTCTGCGATGCAAAGAAGACGGAATCGTACTGTCTTTGGAAGGTTGTTCTTCACTTTGTAGATCACTTTGAAGGAGGCGTTCGTTGAGATGGAATGACCAGTGTTGACTAGGTGTTCGATTATTGCACTCCTTATATGGCCATTATTTCCTTTCTGTAGCCACGCTGGGTAGTGTTCTTTGACCCTTTTTGACAGGATGCGCGTTGAACGACCGATGTACCTGGCTCCACAGCAACAGGTGAACTGATATATACACTGATATATATATATATATATATATATATATATATATATGAACTTACTAACCGTATTTTAATGTATACACACACACACAAAATAACCATATATATTTGCGATTGTACAGCTTTAAAAATGAATTCGCCGAAAAGAGACTCTTTGCTGAACTACTTGTCTTTTGTCTAATAATGATAACCAACAACAGAGAGTATTTATTGAACAGCTGCTAAAACTAGCTGTACTGTTTATCCTCCTTCTTTGTATGGAACTCCTATTCATCAGCAGTAGCAGTAGCAGCATCAGCCTTAGTACTACACACACTCAGGACACCATCAACCTGGATTATGTAGAGGTTACAACAAGGCCAACCACCCCCACCCCAGTCCACTCCACTTCACAGGAATCCACGATATACAATGCGAGTGAATAAATGAAAGAGGAGGGGGAGGAGGCATTAGAAACATACAAATAAACACCCACGCATACAGTATAGTTTTTATAGCCAATAATGATGTCAGTAACCTGTATTCTACTTCATTCAACAAAGGAAGTAATCTTGAAATATTTTTTTTAAAAACAAAGTGGAGAGAAATAATTATGAGAAAAAATTTAAAATTAATATCAGTCAAAATATATTTCTATATATATCCAAGTAAATAATAATGAAATCACATGATGAATATTAAGAATTCGTTACTAAACAAGCGCAAGTGAATAAGAAAACTTTTTTGTTACATAGCAAACAAACAAAAAGAGAACAGGATTACTTTTGCGCGTGTGTAACTGCGTAGGGGTGAGTTGGGAGGAGGAAGGGTGTCCACCCGTCCACTCAGAGTGTATCAGTTATCAAAGTGTATACAACAACATAACCCATCGATAAAGATAAAGATATAAAATAAATAAAGCTGTCATAGTAGTTAAGTATTTATTAGTAGTAGTAATAAGGAGTATATTGTGTGTGTGTGTGTGTGTGTGTAGTCATGTTCTGTTCTCATATACATGAAAAACTGTTATAGAGTTGAGTTATAATACAACGAAAGAATCCGTGCATCTGTCAGCACTAACTTCATGCAAAATATATAGAATGAGACAAGCGAGGTTTGTGAGTAACTCTCGCTCCCACATACATAAACACACACACAAAACATATACACGTACATATATATATACTACTGATAAAAATCGTCTCAGTAGTAGTAGTAGTAGTCAATTGAAAGGAGCTTGAAAATTGAAATATCAACTAGCCAAGGAAAAATAATTTGTTATTTAAAAAAAGACAGTGGTGATTACAGTAATGTTCATACAAAAAAAGAATAGATAAACAATACGACGACACTATTGTGTTCTTGAGTAGAGAGAACGAACAGGAGAGGGGAATGAATGGATGAAAGTGGGAAAGTTAAAGTTATGTTTGAATAAATTTCATTTCATTACTCTCCCCACCCCAACCCCTTGATTATTTCATTGCACTTGTTATAAATGTGTATAGTAATAATACAGAGGGAAGCGCATATGCACGCATATACCAACCGAACCGATAAAAAGTAACATCAGAAAAGTAGAAGAAAGCAGTGGCGCCATAATTTCCATTTTTTGTGTCAAAGAAAACAGAAAAACAATAAAACAAACAAAGAGTATTCAACAGTTACCCGATAAGTAACACCGGGCTATAGTATAGTAGTGAACAAACACACATCCTTCTTTTTTAATATTAATTTAAGGGCTACTACTACTAGTGCTACCCGTCCAGTGATTTGAAAGATGAAATCAGTAGATTGTGGATTCGAACTCGGAGCTGGCAGGCGACCCACCTCCACAATGTAAAGATAGGTTAAGGAACCATTAAATCGAATATGCACACAATTACATGTGTATAGGTCGAATTCGCGCACAACAACGCCTGTATAAATACACATAAGTGAAGTAATACAATATGCAATGATAAGAAAGAAATATTCAATGAAAGATTGATTTTTGATTTTTTTACTTGAACACCTCCCACTTAATGATCAAAAATATGTTTTTTAAAAAAAGAAGAAAAATGGAAAAAAGAATTTGAGTATACATTGATCATTTAAGATGAAAAGATAGTGAGTGGGAAAGGCATTTTTCGACCATGTTATCAATCCAAGAAGAGCAGGAAGGGGTTGTGATAGGGGAACGCAGGGCCTTCTGACATCATTCCAAAGATTCTTTAATCAATAAAACCTGAAATTTTGAGAGAAAAAAAAGAATTAGACAAAATTTTTGAAAGTGACTTGCTACAGGTTGGAGCTTCCTGCAGTTCTAGTGAGAAGTCGTGACCAGTGAGGTCCAATTAGAAGTCACGTGTGGATGGATTTCCACCAACGACAATAGTTGGGGTCGCGCTAAAATCACGAATTGGTAGAAGTTAGAATTCATGAGCCATTGAATCGGGTCCCAGTGGCTGAATGGTATACGAGCTTGCCTTGTAACCGGAAGGTCCTGGGTTCGAATCCCGGTGGGTGCGTACTGCTGAAGAGTCCCAAACTAGGATGAAACAGCAGCTGTCCAGTACTCCCTGGTTTTCAACGGTTCTCTAACTGATATCAGTCCGTGATCAACTCGTAGGAAAGTATAATAATAACAATAATAATTTTTGCTTTATTCCAAAAACAGTACTAATGATACAGCAAGGAATTTTCAGCATTCAGTACAATATCGCATCTAATTTACTCAAAAATGACAAAAAAATAAAATAAAAAATAAACATTACATAATAATAAGAACAAAACGTTGTTATAGCAGCTATTTAGCAAATTTCTGTATGCAATAAGGAGAAAAATATGCATAAAGTGTAAAATTATAGTAATAATAGTAATAACAACTAAAATAAAAATAGCAAAGTTATAATAAAACGATAGAAAGGGTGACACCATAAAATTACAGAAAGATGAACGATGAAAGGGTCGATTCACTATGCTAATTACATAGTAACTTATATGTTTCACGTCTAACAGAGTCTTCATCATATAAAATACGAGCTAAATACGGTATTGTAGAATTTTTGTACTTAGTGGTTCGAGCATATAACTTCTTATATTGACTTCTCGTCCTACCTGATGAGATGCGAGGGGATAGTTGTGGATAAAGGGGGTGCGCAGAGGGTCTGACAGTACGGCCTTTGCCCATTTTGTACAGGATTTTACGTGTCTCTCGACTATAGTATTGGTGAGCTCACACAGCGGCATACCACAAGGCCTACTCACAGCATTTAACACCCTTCGTAATATGATATAGTCTTTTTTGAGAAGCCCAGGAAAGATTAATGGAGAGCAATAGAGTACAATAGGTAAAATACAAGAGTTTAAAAATTGCAGAACTAAAGGTTGGTTGATACTTGATTCTCTTAACTTTTTCATGTAGAAGGTAAGACGAAACATTTTCTTAGAGATCAATAAAATGTGGGATGACCATGAAAGGTGAGAGGAAAGAACTAATCTAAGGTATTTAATGCTTGACTTGGTCTCAATTTCAGTGCCATCTATGCTACAGGCATCATGGGTACTAACTAGTTCATGAATGTCACGTCGATGCTTGAAAGTAAAGTTAACTGCCTGACATTTGGAAGGATTTAACACAAGACCATTTGACTTAGACCACTTGCTGATGTCCAACAGAAAGCTATTAAGTTTGGAGTAGTCAGACTCGGAAGTAATACAGTCAGATCATCAGCATATTTAACAAAGTTAGTTTCGTTTAAATGAGGCAGGTCGTGTAGGAAGAAAGAAAAAAGAAAAGGAGAGAGGACGGCACCTTGAGGAACCCCGGCTTTTGTAGGCGAGGCAGAAGAAAATTTCCCATTATATTCAGTATACTGCATTCCATCAAAAAAACAAGAATGCAACCAACTCTTAGCCCAGGATCCTGCCTGCGTCAACGAAAGCTTATTTAATAAAAGACCCCTAGGTACAGAGTCAAAAGCAGTATGTTTTAAAGTTGCAACGGTGTGTTACTAATTTGTGTTGATTGTCATCTAACTTGACTAGAATATGCTTTCAGATAGATAGATAACTGATCGCTTTAAAATATTCCCCCCCCCCCCATACTTAGATAGACACAGCAGTTAGATTTATCTGCGACAACAACAGTACAGGATTTAAATCGCTTTCACATCCACGGAAATTTAGACCTTTTATAACCAACAATATCTCGTTGATATTATATGACTGTCCAATCAGGTTGTCATGCCAGAGTGCATGATGCATCAAAATAGAATTTAAGGCTGCTACCTACGACAGGTTGTCCGTCCTAACACGTATAATATACAAATGACTACTCGACTCATACAACAACCCTAAGCTTGGAAAAAAACCGACCACAGAGAAGCGAGAGAGAGGTGATGAAAAGATAATCTTAACCAGTAATAACAAGTATTAAGCAACGAGACGTTATTGAAAAAGGTCTGGAAGGAGGGAAAGGTGCCTACTGACTGGAGGAAAGGTTACCTTGTGAAACTATCGAAGAAAGGCGACTTTGGACTCTAGAAGAACTGGCGAGGAATCATGCTCCTGTCGACGCCAAGTAAAATTCTGAGTCGCATCATCCTGGAGAAAATAAAGGACGCACTGGATACAGAACTCCGACCAGAACAAGCTGCATTCAGGAAAGGCAAATCATGTTCGGACTAAATTGCAACTCTATGCATCATCATCGAACAAAGCATGGAATGGCAATCAAACCTCTACCTCAACTTTATACACTTTGAGAAGGCCTTCGACAGCGTTGACCGCGAAGTAATTTGGAAGCTACTCGAGTACTACGGCGTACCCCAAATATTCATCAACCTCATTCAACAGCTGTACGACAACGACAAATGTCAAGTGATCCACAACGGGAAACTCAGCGAGGCATTTGGAGTAAACACCACCAATGATATTCCTAATTGTGGTGGACTGGATTATGCGTCAGACAGTGAGAAACGAGAAGACAGGGATATCCTGGACCAACGTAAACAACCTAGAAGATCTGGATTTCGTGGATGACTTATGTTTGATGTCACACAAAATCGAAGACTTACAAGCGAAAACCGACAAACTGGCCGAAGAAGCAGCAAAGACAGGACTCCAGGTGGACATAGACAAGACGGAGGTTATGAAAATAACCAACCAACAACAACAACAATAGCATCAGCAACATCCAGCGCCAATCACCATCAACGGGAGGTATTCGAAAGAGGTTACTTCATTCACTTATCTAGGGAGGGAGCATTGTCTCAACTACTACAACAGGAGGAACGGACGAGGATGTCAAATCGAGAATCGGGAAGGCGAGAAACACATTCATCAACCTGAAACCAATCTGGAAATCTTCCGCTGTCACTCACTCAGCATCAACAACAAAATGATTCGGATTTTCAATACAAACGTCAAGTCAGTCAGTTCATGTATACGGATAGATCAGAAACTTGGCGGTCGCGTCACAAAGAATATTTCCAACAGCCTGTTGCACACCTTTATCAACAACAACTGTCTTCGCTGGCTCTATACTGAAGATCAGATGGCCGATGGAAAGAACAAGAACCAACAAGAAACTATGGGAAGAAACAAACGAAACAAGAAGCAATCGCCCAACAAATATGCAGGAGAAAGAAGTGGAGATGGATTGGGCACTCCCTGAGGAGGAGGCCGCTGGGTGGGTGACATCGCGCGTCAGTCAGGCCATAGCTCGAGTGGAACCCGAAAGGGAAGCGGCGAGTGGGAAATCCAAGGGTGATATGGAGGAGATCGTGTGAAGAGGAGTTGAAACAGAATGGACTAACATGGATGCAGGTGAAAAGTACAGCAGAAGACAGAAACAAGTGGAGACGTGCAGTTGAAGGCCTATGTTCCACTAGGAACCCAGGGGAACAATAATATTAATAATAATGTGTAAAACACTACAAGAATATAACTTACTAGTTACACCATCGTCTGTGAATGATTGATTTTTTGACTTCATAGTAGAAGGCTGAGACATCATTGGAACACCTTGTTGTTGTTGTTGCTGTTGGTGTGAATAGAAATTTTTCCTTGGACTATGAACACCACCAACACCAACACCACCACCACCACCAGTAACAGCATAATGGGACTGTTGTTGTTGTTGCTGTTGCTGAATATAGTGTTGATGTGTTTGACGATCCGTTGTCATCATATTCCCTGTACCACCAGCACCGCCCAATGGTTCACAACTTGCTTGACGAATTAAACTTCTTTGTGGTAATCTCGATTGGCTACCAATAGGATTATTACCTAGTAGTGTAGGAGGCGTTATATTAGGCAAAACTTTAACACCAAACATCAATTGACTGTTATTATTACCATTGTTACCATTTTGACTGCCATCCATATTGCTGCCGCCGATAAGACGAGAACCCTGTGAATTGTTTACATTCGAAGCTGATGAAGTCGATGACGATGATACAGGCAGTGGACCAGACGGTTCTTGATAGCATTGCTGGTTTTGGTGTTGTTGTCTGTAGGAGGCATATTGTTGAGGCATATTCTGGTTTGTCTGTTGAAAACTTAACGATTTCTGTTGATATTGCTGTTGTTGATAATGAGACGATGATACAGGAGGAGGAGGCGGTGGCGTCGGCGGAGTACTATTCATATAAGGATTCGACTGTAATCGACTATTATTATTAAAATTATTATTATTATTCCCTGACTCATGTGACAATGTAAATGGTGATGGATTTTTATTCCCAGCAAAATCAGATAAATTTAATCGTGAATAATGTTGATTACTGTTATGACTGATTTGCGTATTATTATTCATGAGCATATTGTTATTATTATGTGAAGCTATTTCACGACTTACACTACTTGAACGTCTTGGTGGATGAATTGGACGATCACATAGACGGCCAACATGAGATGTCTGCTGCTGATATGCCGCCTGTTTAGATAAATAAGTTTTTAAAATAAAAATAAAAAACAACTTTATTTTCATTTGAGAAAATTAAAATAATTAGTCCCTTTGATAAATTTGAATAAGGCATTAAGAAGAGAAATTTCGCCGTGAGATGATATCTTCATTTCGTAGTTTCTTTACAACCGCTTTACAACTAACATGGTTAACAATAATAAAATAAAATAAAGTTCATGACAATTACTCAGTTATATAAAAAACAAAAGTACATACTAATGACCAATCATATATATTCAGTCAGCCACCAAACGCAAATTCTACGCCGCATCTCTTTTTCTCACTTGCCGAACATATTCGATCCCTGTACCTACGATTACAGGACGAAATTCCGTTGACTCTACTTCAAACTGCATCTACAAGTTCACCTGCAGCTGCGGTGACACCTACATAGGTAGAACCAACAGAATGTTGCAATGTCGTCGAAAAGAACATGTTCCAAAATGGCTACTAAATCATATAGAAAATCCCAATGCGAGTAATCTGAATATAAATCCAGCATCATCCACTGCAAAACACTTATTAATGTCAGGTCACAAAATCAATATTAATGACTGTTTCACAATTATTTCATCACATAACTCTAATTCAAGGTTATTGAAGGTGATGGAAGCACTTTGGATTAATCACATACAGCCTAAACTGTGTGTACAAAAAACAACAGACTTCAATCTTCGCCTACCATGGACTACTTGACCTATTTAAATATGATTGGTCATTAGTATGTACTTTTGTTTTTTATATAACTGAGTAATTGTCATGATCTTTATTTTATTAATGTTAACCATGTTAGTTGTAAAGCAGCTGTAAATAAACAACGAAATGACGATATCATCTGTGCGTCGGTGGCACAGTGGTTAGGACTCTCGCCGACCATGCACATGGTCCGGGGTTCGATCCCCTGCCGGCGCACACCCGATATCTATGGTCGGCCTGAATTTGGGCTACCGATATCCATGCTGAAAATTCCACACTTGTACAGAAAATACGGTGTGGAATCAAGCTGTAAATCAAAATAAAAAAAAATAAAAAAATAAATAAATAAAATCTCGCGAAATTTGTCTTCTTAATGCCTTATTCAAATTTATTTTCAACAATAATAGGAAAAGAAAAATTTATTCTCCATTAAGTCAACAACATAAAAAGAAAAGGTGTTCGTTCAGCCAAGAGTTACTCTTTTCTTTTCCTTTTCTATAGATATCATTATCAAGCTGCCGCCTATATATATTTCTTGACCTAAAGGCGGCATTCGATTCTCTCGACCGACGGCTACTCTGGAGATGCTTGGTTGTAGTAAAGGGAATGCCGAGAAAATACATTGCACTGATCAAGGCACTCCACTCGAACTCATGCCATCAACCAGGTGAGGTCTTACGGTGAGTTGTCATCTGAAGTGGTGATGACTAGTGGTGTCCATCAGGAATGCACACTATCCCCATTTCTATTCAATTTCATCATAGATGTACTAATGCATTAAACCCTAACTCACTTCAGAGACTCAGGGATTGACTTCCTACCAGGAAGGGAATAATCTCGTCGACTTAGAATATGCAGACGATACAGTCCTTCTAGGCGACGACGCTGACTAAATGCAGTCTTCTGAACAACTTGAGCTGCAATCTACAAATGTTTCGCATGCGATTCGCTCCTACTGTCAAATGTAACATGATGTTACAGGATTGGACTACATTGACTCCTAGTTTAGAAATAAAAAGTGAAGTGGTAGAGCACGTTGACCGCTTCACTTATTTGGGAAGTACCGTCAGCCAGTGAAAACGGATTGATCTCTGACGAAATCTCAGCATGGATACAGAAAGCCAGTTTCGCGTGTGCCGGTTTACGCCGTCTCTGGCTTAGTAGACGTGATATCCCGCTGGTTGTCGACCAAAGGGCGGGTGTACTGCTCATCAGTCCGATCCGTCCTCCTTAATGGATGGCTGTGAGACCTGGCCATTGAGAGTGGAAGACATGAAAAGATTAGTTGTCTTTGATCATAGATGTCTGCGTCCTATCTCCTGTGTGAAGTGGTGGCATAATAGGGTGAGCAATATTGAGGTTAGGCCATCGGTCGAGTGCTAGTTGGTATTGGAAATCAATCGACGAGGCTGTAAAATTACATCGACTGAGATGGTTAGGACATGTGTTACGCATGCATGCCTAGTCATCGCCTTCCTCGACAATGGGCAATGTTAGCTGACAGACAGACGAATCAAATACAAAGTCATCTACAGAAAATGAAAGAATCTTGCTATGTTAAGAATCCCAAACACTGTATACAAAAAAGTTTGATTGGTTAGAGGATTTCATTATGAGCTGACACTGGTCAGAGAATCATTGGAAAACCTGGGAGTACTACTGGATAGCTGTTCCGTTCTAGTTTGGGACTCCTCGTCGGTACGCACCCACCACCAGGGTTCGAACGCAAGATCTTCTGGTTGCAAGCCTAGCGCGCTAGCTCGGGAGACCATTAGGTCCCACTGGGACCCAGTCGTCTAATGACCAGTCCATGAATTCTAACTTCTGCTAATTCATGACATAGTGCGACCACTTAGCAAGGTCTTCTTCGATGAGTTACTGCCTCACAATCAAGCTGCTGCACCAGATGTCCAGTACTCCCGCAAGTTTTCCAATGATTTTCTAAATCAAGTCAGCTCATGTTGAAATCCTCCAACCAATCAAACAAAATCCCTACAACAAAACAGACCAATACTTGAAAAACAAAAGAAGTTTGTCCGGTCAGTTAATCTGTAATTGTCTTAATCTGCCGTAACACCGGCATTTTTTTAATTGTATTGTTTTCTCCCCCCCTCCTTATTAAATCTCTACCCCCTTATTACAAGTGTTGTTAACTTGACATAGAAAAAGCACTTGGATAGGACAATATACACACTTTCACAGCTTCGTTCCTATCAGTTACACAAGAAATATAGTGAAGACCCTCAGCCATAGAGTTAGAGCTATATGCTCAGAAGAAGTAATTAACGATGAATTAAGCATTGTATTTGATACTTTGATCGAAAATAGCTGGCCGTCCCGACAAATTTATCAAGAAACACATGACAAAGAAAGTGGAATAGGACTACTCACTGTCTGTAAACAAGAAGCCACTTTACAGACGACTGCAATTCAAGGACGACATACTAAATGAGATAATTACGAGGAATTTAGGAAAGTCACATCAAAGAACCTTTAATGCTGGCGAACTACACGTATTATTCTCTACACGACCAATGGTGCTACCTCGACTGAAAGATGAAGTACCTAGACTAGAATAGCCACTTCAAATTGTATCTATCAATTCAACTGCGCTGCTTGTGGAGCGAGTTATATTGGCCGTTACTCTAGGAACTTGAATTTTCGTGCTCACTCGAGAACATATCCCACTATGGCTAAGTAAAGGTGTAGTTAAAACTATTAACAGCTCGATATTAGACCATCTGGTGCAAACCGGTCACAAAGCCAGCCAGCGTAGAAGAATCCTTCTCTATCATCATCTACCGGGTGCCTAACAAATTACCAAAATCGTCGAAGCACCGCATGCTCCAAACAGCAGAGGCTATTGCGATTTGCCTCAAACAACCAGTGCTCTGTGTTCAAAAGAAACAAGTCCAGTACCTACTACTGTCCTGGCCCTTAGCGGAAACTATAAACTCATGAATTTGTACTATTATCTTTCCTAATTCTTCTGACATTCAGCTTATTTTATGTTGATGCTGTTCAGCTGTAATCTATCAATGTTATTGATTCGATGTTATTTACACAGCAACATTAATGTCGTTCATAAGACTAATTCATTTATTCATTCATTATAGTGTATATATAATTGTAGAGCCTGATGATGAAGGGGTTATCGAAAAGAGTACTCTTTGTTCCGTGTCCATTCTTTCGTTCAAATTTTAGTTGAATTCTACCCAATCCTGTCAATTACACTAAACTAGCCACTTTGCTTATTGAATTTCATTTTACTTTCTATCCACTTAACGATTTTTACATTACGTAATTCGCTATCTTAAAAATACTGTGATCATTTTTGAATTGTGTCACTTAAGTTGACACACCAAACCCGCATCACCCAGTGACTATTGTGCAGTCAGTCGATTGCCTCCATCCATCTAATAACAACAAATTCACAGTGAACCGTGATCGTGTGCCACCTAGCCTCTGTCTGGATTCAACATAGAACTTGCCACCTAAGTGCACCAGTTCCAGTTGCCACCTTCCAAATACCACACAAAGGTAGACAAGGAGATGAGTGAAGAGAATCAGTGGAGTTTTGACAAGTATAAGAGTGAAACCGAATGAATGAGTAATGGTGGTAGAAAGGAATATGAAAGATTACAGAGACTGAATACATCTGCGTAAGCCATTGACAACGATGTTTGAGCCATGTCACCTATTGTCTCCAACCTTCATTGATTCTTAGAGTACCGAGGGCGGGCCGGGCCCCAACCCGGAAGTCTACATCTCCCTCCCTACCTGACTGACTCAGTTTAACTGTCAAGGATTTCATGGATTGATGGGACCATGTTTTTGTTTAGCCACCACTTACTCTTTCTTACTTCCAACCTGCACCTATATCAGCTAGTAATGCCCGTCCATCGGGGAGGGGGAGGCGATGGTTAGGCATCCGCAGAACTTGACCTAGCCATCTCAATCTATGTAACCTTATAGCCTCGTCGATTGATTTTCCCTCTTTGCCCAACACTCTACGCCTAACCTAACGTCAACATTACTTACCACCTTATTATACCACCTCCTGACGTGAGAAAGAGAACGTAGACATCTATGATCAAAAAACAGTCAACCTTCTCATGTCGTCTTCAACTCGTATTGGCCATGTTTCAGAGCCCCATAGAGAAGAACTGAGCGAACTGGTGAGCAGTACACACTTGTCCCTTGGTTGATAGTCGGGTGTCACGCCTACGCCCGGCAGAGATGGTGTAAGTTAGCGAAAGCAGCAGCTCGAGCTTTTTGGATCCGTTTCCCTGATGAGTCTAAAGAGTTGCCTAGTGTTGCCACCTAGCCTGGTAACCACACCTACAAACTTGACTGACTGATAGAATTCAGTCTGCACCAAAGATAGGAGACTAGACATATATATATATTACACTAGTTACTGACTAGTGTACAATCAAAGACATTGTCTAATTTCATATATTGCTGATTTATTAACCAACTTCTAATCCTCTAATCATTGAAATTACACACTCACCTGACTACCTCGACGTATCAGACCTGGTGTTACTATTGAAGCATAATTACTATTTCTTAATGATGAACTTAAAGGCGGGGATGATGGACATAGCCCTGGATTTGTTCCACAATCTAATGACTTTTTAAAGTATTCTGATTGTCGACGACGAAATGTTGATGTACCAGAATTGACACATGTTGTAATATACTCATTATCATTTGTGCTGCTACCCACAGCACCAGCACCGCCGCCGCCAACAGTAACATTGGATTGCAACAGATCACATGTACTACCGCCAACACTAACACCAACACCCACCCCACTAGCAAATGGTGTAGATGGTGTAATCGGCAATTGTCCAATTGTTGTTGTTGACTGTGATGATAATAATAATGATGATGATTTATTGATCTGATAAGTGGATTGATTCAATAAGGCAGCAGCATGATTATGATCATATTCCCATGAATTATGCATATTACTATTACTCTTATTATTATTATTGCTATTGTTGTTGTTGCTTCTGGTAATTATGTCCGATAGTGGTGCAGTAGTCAGACCTCCAACAACACCTATAGAAGCAGGCGGTGTATAACACTTCTCGCCGTCGAATTCTTTCCCACTGGATATAATAGATGGCCAGATAACTTGAGATGATTGAGATAAATCTATTCAATTGGAGAAGAAGAAGAAAGAAGAAGAATACAAACAAATTGTCGATTGACAACCAGGAAAAACGTGCAGTTAGTTCATAGGGGAAATTCAATTCTCTATAAAGTCTATAAGAGACAAAGGTTGTAGAAACTTTCAATTGCCTAATACTAAAAACCATCTCTCCACCAAATCAGTCAGTAGGATGTTCTTTGCTGCGAAATTACAAATGACGTTCACTAGCCGAAAGTTGTTCTCCATCTCTGTAAAAGATAAGCCCCTCCCCCGCCGACTGGTCGCCTCCATGTGCATCAGCCAGTAGTCCAAAGAAAAAACGGTCTTACCTTAACCCCCCCCCCTAAATGCCAAACAGTCAATTTCACCTTCAAGCATAAATCCGACCTAAACAAACTGGCTGGCTCTCACGAGGTATGCAACATAGATGGCACTGAAATAGAAACCAAGTCGGAAATTAAATACCTAGGCGTCATTCTATCTGCTGATCTTTCCTGATCGTCTCATATCTTGGCAATTTCTAAGAAAATATTCCGTCTTACCTTCTACATCAAGAAGTTAAGACATTCTGGTATAATCCCCCCCCCAACCCTTACTCCTACAATTCGTTAACTCTCGCATTCTGCCTATTATTCTCTGCCTATTGTTCCCCCTTAGTTTTTCCCGAGCTACTGAAGAAAGACTATATCTTATTACGTAAGGTGTTAAAAGTTGTCAGCATAGTAAGCAATGTGCCACTTAACCAGCTTGTTAATATTCTGGTTGACAGGCACATGGGCTCATGTGAAAAATGGGCCAAATCCATTTTATCTCCCCTCGTATCTCATCAGGCAAAACCAGAAGCCTATATAGGAAACTATATGCTCGCACCAGCAAGTACAAACACTCAACCATACCCTACTTAGCTCGTCTTCTGTGCGATAAAGAAAGCATTAGGCGTGACACCTATAATTCATTAAATAGTCAGTAGTACAACTGGACCTCGTCTTTCCAACTCATATCATTTATAGGTACAACATTTGCTTTCTTTCTTTTACTATACTCTCTCTCTCTCCTTTTTTTCTGTTATGTGCTGCTTTGTTTCTTTCTCTCGCTTACTCCAGTAAATGTGATAGCAACTACTTTTATAACACCTTCAAACATTCTGTTCAACTTTGGCTTTGTTACCGACATGCCAATATGTTGTTGTCATAATGAACTGAGATTTCCTTAATCTATGTAGAATTTTATTTATTGATAATGTACAAACTGGATGCAATACTGTAGTAAACAAAATGCTGAGAATTCCATTCTGTATCACAAGTACTGTTTTGGAATAAAGCATATTATTATTATTATTATTATTATTATTATTATTATTATTATTATTATTATTATTAGTAGTAGTAGTAGTAGTAGTAGTAGTAGTAGTAGTAGTAGTTCACCTGCTCTTGTGGAGTAAGGTCCATTGACTGTAGCCAAAGGATGCCTTCCATGCAGATACTAGAACAAAGGAGAAAGGAAGTGTGTGCGAACACCTAGCTGATCGATTCGTGTCACTCTGCCAACCCTGAACATGATTTTAAGATCATCATCTATCGAATCCATGCTCACTTGCCAGACGCGTTTTCTTTGTTACAGACTGACTTCTAAAGACAGTGGAGGCCTTGGCAATTCATGACTTTAAGACAGACCTTTGTGTACAAAAGAAGTATGTACAATCCCTACTTCTGCCTTGGCCGTAGTTAGTCTACTTACCTCCCCCCTTATTACTACAATTATTATCACTATTACTATTCTCACTTTGAATTGTTTCCGCTTGTCCCACTTGTCATTCTAAATCAAAAATCCTTCGTCAATGATGAATTCTATCTTATTAAATTTCACACCATGTTATGTAACATTTTAAATTCGCCCAATAATCCTATAATTACACAACCCTTTCCAACATCTATACACACCTTATGTATTATTCTATATGTGACATTAATTGTTTTGCTACTTGACACTTAATTGCGATTATAATCTTCAGTAGAATCGAACGAATATGCACTGAAGACACACTTGATGAGGAAGAAAGAAAGTTGACACAAACTCTGGTAGATAACAATTATCCAGACAAGTTCATCAGGAGATATAATGTAGTCAGAACATTAAGACCCACTCTCGAACTCGCCTGTAAGAAAGACGTGTACATCAAGCTACCCTATATGGGGCATCAAAGCAGTTTGATAACTAGACAAAGACTGAACGCTGCTGTTAAAAAGACTTTTTATGCAGCCAATATCATAATAATTGAGAATGTGAAGCCAATATATATATCTAAGCCATTTGAACATGCGAAAAATAATGTCACATCCCACTGTATTTACCAATTCGAATGTACGTGTGGACACACATACATAAGGAGGACTCATCGATCTTTGCAAGTAAGGGCTGGCTTTAGAGCATATTCCTAAATGGCTCAAGAAACAAATGGAATCTTCAGAACCTATTAACGGTGAGAACAGGAGACCTAGCTCTTCTATTGCCAAATATATTATAGAGACAGGACATAAAATTGACGTTAACATATCTTTTAAACCTATCTATAAAAAGTGTTTGGGGCGTGTCCTAAAGTTTATGGAAGCCCTAGCAATTAGAAAGTTTAAGCCACCTTTATGCATGCAAAGCAACAATTCGTCATCACACTAAACCTTTCCTTGGTAAATTTTGTTTTGATACCATAGCAGATGTACTATTACCTGTGCTATTTGGTTTAGTGGTCTTCATTGTTATTTTGACCTTGAATATGTCCTTTTAACTTGACCTAAGTGGTCTATTTTCTCACCTCTTACCTCTTTATGAATTTCATATATTCCTATGACAAGTCCGTGTGTGATGGATCAGATTGTTCGAAATGTGTTGCGTAAATACAGCATTACACGATTCAGACAAATTACGTCTTCTTCTTATTGCTTTATCTCAATTCATAAAGGGAGCTAATTGCTTTAAACTATTACTTTTGATCTAATTCTTTCACCGGATATAATTTATTTTAAAAAAAACCGTATATATACGGTTGTACAGCTTGATAATAAATTCGTTGTTGAAAAGAGTCTCTTCGCTGAGTATTGTGTTCTTAATGCTACCTACAATGGGAATTATTAAGTTATATAATATTAAACTAACAATCTGAGATTATGTAGGATGTTTTTTTCCACCTCAAAAAATATTTTACAATTAATCATTATCAATAGATCGTGTAGTCCTTCGCTTTGACTTGATGTATGACACCGGTTAGTGATCAATCAGTAGCGTCTACCACGCGTTCAGTGTCAGAACGAATACTCGGTGAGCATATATCAGCTGCCGGTGGTCACACTAAAACCACAGGCTGATAAAAATTTACAAACTGCAGGTCATCGGTTTCCAGCTCAAGTGGTCAATGTACTTGGACTCATTACTTAGGAGGTACTGGGGTACTGGGATTCCTGACAGTGGAGTTGTGGGTGCGTACCGTTGAAGAATGTCCAAAGTCAGGATGAAGCAGCTCTCCAGCACACCTTGGTTCACACTAGCTAAAAAATCAATCCGTAATGAAACTTGAAACAAATCCAACCCCCCTCCCCTACAAAGTAACTTTTGGGAACCTAAATCTATAAATTTACAACCAGCCGCCTACTGTTTCTTATCGCTGGCTATCTATTATTATTATTAACATAGGACTTCAACTACACGTCTCCACTTGCTTCTGTCTTCTGATGTACTTTTCACCTGCATCCATGTTAGTCCATACTGTTTCAACTCTTCTTCACACGATCTCCTCCATGTCACCCTTGCACTGACGTCCCACTCGCCACTTTCCTTTCGGGTTCCACTCGAGCTATGGCCTGACTGACACGTGATGTCACCCAGTGGCCTCCTCAGCGAGTGTCCAATCCATCTCCACTTCCTCCTCCTGCATATTTGTTGGGCGATTGGTTCTTGTTTCGTTTGTTTGTTCCCATAGTTTCTTGTTGGTTCTTGTTCTTTCCGGCGGCCATCTGATCTTCAGTATAGAGCCAGCGAAGACAGTTGTTGTTGATAAAGGTCTGCAACATGTTGGAAATATTCTCTGTCACCCGCCAAGTTTCTCATCTATCCGTATAGAAGAACTGACTGACTGACTTGACATCGTTTGTATTGAAAATCCGAATCATTTTGTTGTTGATGGTGAGTTGAGTGACAGCGGAAGATTTCCAGATTGGTTTCAGGTTGACGAATGTGTTTCTCGCCTTCCCGATTCTCGATTTGACATCCTCGTCCGTTCCTCGTGTAGTTGAGACAATGCTCCCTCCCTAGATAAGTGAATGAAGTAACCCCTTTCAAATGCCTCCCGTTGATGGTGATTGGCGCTGGCTATCTATATAGTCTGTACATATTTCTCATATTATACAGAATAAAAAAAGAGAAAAACAAGAACAGCATAAGTTAACTTACTCGGATCAAATTTGTTTATGTTAGTAACAGCATATGACTCTTCAGCATGACCATTACCTGCACCAATAGGAGGAATAGAAGGAGGAGGGGGAGGCGGCTGCGGCGTTGAAGAAGTTATCACTGAATCATTTAACTGTAGGCTAAACTTTCGACCGGCATACAATGAATTGCTAATACTACTGACAGTTTCATTGTTGTTACTGTTACTGTTGTTGTTTGTTGAGGTGACAGTTGGCGAATTTTGACGATTTTGAAATTTACGTGCAGCTGCTTTTTTCAATTCATTCAAATTTGTATAGACTGGTGCAGGGATAGCTTGATTTGGATATAACATTGGTGTTTGTCGAGCTAAGATTTTATCAAAAAAGAAACAAACAAAAAAAAACACAGAACACGCCAGTTAATACTACTATCAAATAACCTAAGTACTATGGTGTTGAACAACGAAAAGTATTTAAGGAAAATTATCTAGGTTGGGTAACCTGATAAAAAAGAACAAGCATAAATTCTGTAATCGGTTGTCAGACGAACTTCTCTCCTAGGTGTATCGATGACATTTCTGTCATTTGTGATTGTTTTAATGATACATGTGAAGTATTATTATTATTATTGTTCCCTTAAATTCCTAGAGGAACATAGGGCTTCAACCGTGCGTCTCCATTGCGTTCGGTTCTCTGCCCACACGCTTTCATCTCCTCTTCACATGACCTCCTCCAAGTCACCCTCACCCTTGCACTGACGACCAACTCGCCGCTTCCCTTTCGGCCAGGTTCCACTCGATCAATGGCTTGTCTAGTGATGTCAGTCACTTGATGGTTTGTTTCCTCACAGTATGGCCAGCCAATCCACCTACCTCGATTTCTTCCTGCCTATTTATTTCACAATCGGTTGGTTCCTGCTGTGTTGGTTGGTTCGCTCATTGCCAGAGATCCCTCTCTGTTAATGATCTTTTCTGGCCGGCCGGCCATCTGATCTTGAGTAGTATTGAGCGAAGACAGCTAGCTGTTAATGAAGGTCTGTAGTTTGTTTGAGATGCTCTTTATGACGCGCTGGCCAAGTCTCTGATCCATCCGTATAGTAAGTGGCACTGACTGACTTCACATTGGAGTTGAAAATCCGGATGTTATTTTTGATGCTGAGCGCTGTTGATCTCCACACAGACTTGAGAGTAGTGAAAGCTTGTCTTGCTTTTCCGATCCTCGATGCTTTGATATCCTCGTCAGTTCCGTTCGCCTGTAGTTGAAACGATGCTTCCCAGGTCGGTAGGTAGGTGAAGGAGGTTGTTTTTTTCAGGTTCCTTCCATTTATGCTTATTGTTGTCTGTTGCTGTTGTTGGTGGTGGTGTTGCCCAGGAATCTTAATCACCACATCTGTTTTCTCTATGTTCACCTGAAGTCCTATCTTCTCTGGATGCTTCTTCTGCCAACTTGTTGCTTTTCGCTTGCATATCTTCCAGTTTGTGGGAAATCAGACATATATCATCGGCGAAGTCCAGATCCTACAAGTCTCTTTTTGTGTGAGTCCATTTTATGCCTGTGTCCTCATTGCCCGCTGTTTGTCGCACTATCCAATCTACTGCAATCAGGAAAATCATTGGTGATGGTAGGCAGCCAGCCTTGTCTTACTCCTGTCCTCACTTCGAAGGATTCCGTAAGTTTCCCGTTGTGGATTACTTGGCATGCAGCAGCATTGTCGTACAGCTGTTTAATGAGATGTATAATTGTCGGTGGCACCCCTTGGTAGTAGCAAAGTACTTGCCAAATCACCTCTCGATCGACGCTGTCGAATGCCTTTTCATGAAGTCGATGAAATTAGGTCTAAGTGTCCGGAAAGTATCTCTGTCAGCGTACAAAACTATGCGATTTTGTGAGACGCATCCCTTGGTGCCGCCTATAATACACCAAGTTAGTTATTTGAATGAAAATAATCGATTAGGATGCAGAACGATACTGAGATTCGAAGCTGTGTTTGATGAACGATACAGTCTATAATACAAAGACATTAGAGTAGTAATAAAAGAGAAAGGCCATACATAAATGCTTACATTTACTCAAATCTTGACTACTTTGCTCTAATTTCTCATCATCAGTCTCCCCGTCATCAGTATCGTCGTTTGTTGTCGCTGTTGTACCACCGCCACAACCTCCAGATTGATCAGCAATATCATCACCACTTGTAACATCATGACTATCGTCCACATCACCAACATCATCATCATCTCGTATATTTCCATTCTCTGACGTATATTCACCTTCAGCAGCTGCAAAAGCAGCAGAAGCAGCAGCAGTATTTGTCTGTTGTACTTTACGATCATTGAAATTACCATCTTTATTTGTAAGACCAGGTAAGGGAATCCAGTCTAGTGCAGAAAAGTATTGAAAAAAAAACAGACAAAATTAAGAGAGGAGTTTAAAAAGTCAAACACGTGTATTAGTGTTACTCGTTAGTTCAAAGATGCAAATATAAGTAATATAGTGTAACTGTATACGACTATGCATTACACATTTGTATAATAATAATAATAATAATAATTTGCTTTATTCCAGAAACGGTACTAGTGGTACAGTGTGGAATTTTCAGCACATATCTACAATATTTGCATCTAATTTTATCAAACATTTAAAAGGAGTATTTCAAAAAAAATAAATGTAAAGACAACAACAGCAAAAACACAAAATAATAAAAAAAATGTGAAAAAATACCAAGAAGTAGAAAGGAAAATAAACAGCATAAAATAATATCTCAGAACTGGGTAGTGGAAGTTATGATATGATTATGCATGGTGACAGTAAAGCTATGGTCATACAAGAAGTTATAAAATGATATTTAAGAATGTTTATCGTCAAGATGATCAGTTAATTTGGTTGAAACAACACTAAACAATCATAAAATAACATTTCAGGGTTGTTTTTTCATCAGGTATAATGCGGTGTTTGTAGTGGTAGTGTGAGTAGTCCTGCATAATACAAAATTTTAAGATGGTGATAATGGCGTTCACAACCAATGATTGTCAGTTAATATTGCCGGAAGAAATAAAAAATAAGAAAAAACAACCACAAAACTAATAATTACATGATGGTTAATGACAGGACAATTTTGTAATACTCATAGTGCACATATAGTCAGAACCAGTAGATACACAAAAGAAGGAATACAGTAAAGTACAAAAAAGGAAGCCAATGTTAATAATTAGGTAGCTAAGTATGTTTAAGAAGGAGTTCACTATAAAATAGAAAATAAGAGAGAAATAAAGGAGCCTAAAATTATGTTATTAACAATAAAGCAAGTCATAGGTTTCGCGCTTAACATTGTCTCTGTCACTTAGAACACGGGCCAAATATGGTATCGTTGAATTCCTGTACTTGGTTGTACGAGCATAGATTATTTTATACTGATTTCTGGTTCTACTTGATGGGATACAAGGCGAGATTTGAGAACAGAGGGGGCGTTGGGGGTCGAAGAGTATAGTTTTAGACCATTTTTCCCATCTATTCAGTTGCCTTTCAACTAATGTAGTGACGAGCTAAGTTTCACACCACTAGTCCTACTAACTACCTTCAACATCTCTCTCAGGATGGTATAGTCCTTTTTCAGTAGCCCAGGAAAGACTAATGGGGAGCAGTAAAGTAGAATAGGTAAGATACAAGAGTTGACAAATTGTGAAAGTAAAGGTTGGGAGATTCCAGATTGTCTAAGTTTCTTAATGTTGTAGTAGGTTAGACAGAACACTTTCTTAGAAATCGTTAGGATATGAGATGTCCAAGTAAGGTCGGAAGATAGAACTAGACCGAGGTCTTTTGGACTTAGTTTCAATTTTAGTCCCCTCAATGCAACAGGCTTCATGAGAACTTACTAGTGTTTGTAGATCTCGTTTATGCCTAAGGGAGAAATCAATAGTCTGGCATTTTGAGGGATTCAGCATGAGACCATTTAGTTTAGACCACTGACAGATGTCCGACAGGAAGCTTAAAGATAACAAAAAAAGTTCTGGCAGTCCACCTGAGGAGTATGAAATAAAGAGGCGAACACACACCAATGACCTTAGAAGGAGGCTGTAGCGTTGAAAGGTATATTCAGCCTTCCAACCTTAACCTGTCCTTAGACTAAAACTTACCAGATATCCCGGTTATAATATCACATCCCCACTTAATTCCCGGCTACCTAACTACGTGAAAGTCAATTTTTTTCCTGAAGTACCTGAAGCAGAAAGAGAATTAGTGTTGCGTTATCGAAGAGCTCGGGGGAACTCTATATACAACTTGAAACCGGTCACACACAGCCTGTTTGAACTAGTTTTGAGAATTGCTTCCGTATTAGTAACTTACCGCCAGCTACACGGACCACCATAGAGTAAGTCAGGATGAACACACCTTGAGGCCAACCTTTTCAATCCCCCTCCTCTCTCCAGAGTGGAGAGACAGCATAGCTGCTGGTGGCTTGGCTTGCCGTCCATTTGACTGGAACGCCGATCTGTAGTTAGTTACATCCCTGTTGTCCAGCAGTATGACTTTTCCCAAAGACCCCCCAGAATAGCGTAAACATCTTACACTGTGCTGGCCGGTAACCGCCTTTTATCTAATTGCTAACAACACATTGCGGTACGCAAGACCGACCGCCACGTCAAGATAACAGCTATCGATTGGGTCCACCACTCACAAGGCAAAGGCATCATGATAGTTATAATACAATAAAGGATCGCTTTCAAGAGTTAGTGTTTGTAGAGATTTAATCTCTTTCATGAGACTTAAATCGGCAGTCCCGGTGACTGAATAGTCTACGATCTTATTAATATATGTGTAAAACTTGGGCACTGTGGTAGTAAGTAATTCCATATTAGTTTGTTTATTAGATATATCACACAGTGAAACAGTATTAGTATTTTCTTACCTCTTCCATACTTTTGAGGTGAAAGCAGATGGGAAGTTAAACACTAGTGTTTACAGGAAACCCACACACTCAAACAGATATTCAGACTTCCGATCATCCCATCCTATGTCAGTGAAAATAGGATTGGTGAAATGTTTAAATGACAGAGCACAAAAATTAAGTAGTACCAAGGAAAATCTAAAACAGGAACTGATACACATAAAAACAAAGCCTTGAAACTTAATAATTACCCGGATAAATTAATCAAGAAATATGTAAGGAAATGTAAAAATAAAATAAATAATGATAGTAGCGATAGTGATAATAATAATAATGTTAATAATAATAGTGATAATAATAATAATAATATTGAAGACGACACCAATAATAAGAAATCTAAATCATCAGTAGTAATTCCATACAAGGAAGGAACCTCGGAAGTCTTACTCAGAATTCTTAACAAGGCAGGAATAGAAGTGACTGGCATTCAAACCCACAAAATCAGTTAGAAACAGGCTTTGTCAGTTAAAGGATCAATCCTGTATAGCCTTTAAAACAAATCAATTTAGTTTATCTAATACCCTGTCTGCAATGATTGTCAGGTCAAATAATGCATAGGTCAAACTAGTAGAACAGGGGCAGTCAGACTAGCTGAACATGAAAACTTAGCAAAATCTAGATTGGTTGATCCAAATAAGATAAGAAATTTAGAGAATAGTTCAACTATAGCACTCACTACATGCAGTTACACGCAACCATACACTAAGATGAATGGGATAGGATGACGGTTTTAAAATCTAATGTCACAGCAGGGTGAATTGAGGGAGAGATTGATAACAGAAGCTTTGTTTATCGAATCAACTGAGGAGAATACGTGTAATAAGAATGATTCAACACCTGTCCTCGATATCTGGAAAATTCTACTACCCCTACGACGGCGAATAGGAGAGAGAGAACAAAGAAAACTATAAAACTCAAGTTTTGAAGGCGTGTGATTATAATTGATGGTATGATTATGAACAGTGATAAATTTTGTTCGAAACTGTGTCATCCAGTATATAATAATACTGTTTCACTGTGTGATATACCTGATAAACAAACTAACATGGAATGGTCTACGAGCTTGTTTTTTAATCAGAATGTCCTGGGTCCGAATCCCGGTAGGTGCGTACTGCTGCTAAAGAGTAGTACTAAACTAGGACAGAACAGCTCTGTCCAATACTCCCTGCTGGTTATCCAGGATTCTTTAACTAGTGTCAATTCGTGATCAAATTTGAAACATAACAACAGTCACTGAGTTTGTTACATTTCATCAAATCGTTCAACATGTTCACACAATGTTGTAAGTGATAGTGAACAGCTAGTTGGCGTGATTAGTTACAAACACACACTACCTACCCACAGTCTCTCTGACAAAAGAATCGATCAGAAGACAAGGACATTCATGCACACAATCATACACACACACAAATGACAACAACAAAAAGGCTAAAAGAATATACAATTACTTAGTAAGGCAGAGACAGATATGAATAATGTCTGTTTTGTGTTTCGTGTAAATGACTAACAAGACAAACTTTCTATCGAATCGATTCATTCTAACACTAACACACACACACACGTACACACAGGCGTACACACCAACACCGTAAAATAGCTAATTAGTTATTTTCAAGTCAAGTCAAATTACTACTATATAGTATAAGTATGATTTTTTACAACCAGTCGTCTGTTAGTCATCAGAATTCGTCGTGTCATGTAGCTAGAGCAGAATAACAAACAAAACGGACGAACTGGTCTACAATCATTCAGTCATTCAATAGTCAATATGCTAAAAAAAGATGCCAACCCACTTGGAAGATAAACAGATAAACAGACATATGCATACAAACATCCACACCTAAGGATGGAGAAAAGAAGAGATTGTTGTTCATAAAAATCCAAAATTAGATGTGGTAGTACTAATTAATAATGAAAACTTTCATACAGTCGAAAATTCTCATAATGCATATAGAAATACATTCATCTTCATGGGGTCAATCGTTGTACACCTAACTCAATTCTTATGCTCTGATGGTCAGACTATTCATGATCTAGTGGTTTGATTTGTATAATTGGACTCATTGCCATTAGAAAGTACTTAGCGAATTAAGTTATTTTGTCTAAATAGGTTACAAAGGTCCTTAAGATTAACGAGGTTGTCCCTAAGTGAGTTTTTAGGTTTAAATGCAACCCGATTTTGTGTTTTTCTAAGAATCTTCCATGTTATTATATTATTATTATTCCCTTGGGTTCCTAGTGGAACATAGGGCTTTAACTGCACGTCTCCACTTGCTTCTGTCTTCTGCTGCAATTTTTACCTGCATCCATGTTAGTCCATACTGTTTCAACTCCTCTTCACATGATCTCCTCCATGTCACCCTTGGACGTCCCACTCGCCGCTTCCCTTTCGGGTTCCACTCCAGGGTCTGACACGATCTTCTATGTTGGGTT